AACGATCGAAGGGCAAGGTCACCACCGGAATAAGAAAAGACAAGCGTGGTCTACTCACAGCTTTTTACGCTAGAGATAGGGAATGTTATTGTTCACATTTGGGATGTTTGGGGTCACAAAATCAGAAGTCAGGCACACTTCCACGGATTTTTCGAAAGATTTGTATCTGGTCGTGCAGTCGTGTATGTTCATTCATGAACAACACCTCCCGAAACAGCGCCAAAAAATACGCTTCAAGGGGACGCTGATGGCACAACCGGATCATCCCAAGTAAGTCTAGATATCTGTCCGGATAATTAAACGGACTTCATTTCACCACGCTTATCCTTTTACTTTAAATTAAATCGAAAGTTGCGTAAGTGGTCGGGTGCGTCACGCTCATGGGGGACCCTCCTCGCTCTATTGATCGGTAGTCGTAAAATGGATATAACTCGATTATTTGTAAAGCTCTATGCATAACTTATAAAGAATGCAAACCGAATTTGATGCGTGTGACTATTTTGTTTGGTTTAATAAAGTGTTTGTAAATATCTCTCGTTCTCATTATTAATTTCTTCAGTTCTGCCTTGCAGTTGCAAAATGAATGACGTCTCGCGATTTTTTATGAATGAAAAAAGTAGCCCCGGTGTGACAGAGGTCACGGTTATCCAATCAAAACGAATAAAACAAGGTCAACCTTGTACGACACACGTGTGACGTACGGATTTAGTATCTTACCACCTGTATCTTCACCACGTGGGTAATAATAGCGTGTATGACCTCCAGCTGCCTCAATGCATGCTGTGATACGCCGCCTCATCGATGACGTCAGTCTTCTGATGACGTGGACTGGAATCCGTTGCCACTCGTCTCTCAGGGCCTGCTGCAATCATTGTCTGTTGACGGGAGGCTGGTGGCGTGCTCTCATCTGTCTGTCAAGATGGTCCCACAGATGTTCAATAGGATTTATATCGGGTGAGTGGGCAGGCCAGGGCAAAACGTCAACGTTCTGCTGGTTAAGGAAAGTCCGAGTCAGTCTTGCAGTATGGGGCCTGGCATTGTCGTGTTGAAACAATTTTCCCCTGCTGTTGGTTTTGTAAGAACGGAAGCACAACTGGCTGCAACACTTGGTCTCTGTACTGCACAGCGTTCAGGTTTCCTTGTATAATCACCAAATCAGTCTTCTGATCTCCACAAATACCGTCCCACACCATGACACCTCCCCCGCCGAATGGATGGACCTCTCGAATACACGCCGGAGCCAAACGTTCCCCTCTGCGTCGATAAACTCGTTCTCTGTCGTTATTTCGAAACAAGTTAAACCGACTTCCATCAGTAAACACCACTCGACGCCAATTTCTCACTTGCCAGCGTCGAACCTGCCTCGCCCATCGCAGTCTCAGGCGTCGATGTTGAGCAGTCAGTACAATTCCTCGGAAAGGACGATACCATCGGATTCCAGCAGCACGAAGTCGTCTTAGTACTGTACGTTGGCTAATGGGATGTCCCAACGCTGTTGCTGCCGTCGCCGTTACGAATATATTTCGCAGGTGAATGAGCCGTACCTGACCGTCTTCCAGTGGTGTTGTCACTCGGGGTCGTCCGGTTCTAGGCCTGTCCTGTGTCCTCCCTATCTGCCTGTACCGTTGAATCAGCCTGGCTACTGTCAATGGTGTACAACCAAACCTGGCAATTTGGACCTGTGTTGCCCCATTTCGGCCATACCGATGGCTCTCTCTCTCTCTCTCTCTCTCTCTCTCTCTCTCTCTGCTCCTGTGACAGTCGTTGCATTTCTTTTGTGTGCTTTCATCACGTGAGGTTATACCCTTCAGACGAACGCATTTATACAGCTAACATGCACGTGCAGTTTATGCCATAGGCGGGAAACCTGTTTCAACATTTTTTTTGTCACCGCACGAGTGAGGTGAGGTGCGGTGTTTTTGGTACCTGTTCCTGGGCAGTCATATTCCCAATACCCACTTTCCACTACATCGCTGTTTTTAGGAAAATTACAAATTGCTAACCTATACTTTCTTTTGCCGCTTAGTTTAGTATCTACATGTTTGGACCGTTTGGGGTGATTCCCAAATGTTTGTTGGGAAATAAATTTAATCCTTGAGTATTATCAAAAATGAGTGTTCTCTTATGGCTAAATAAAACAGCTTTCGGTTTATCATCTTTAAACTTGACCAACCATTTTTATTTAATCTTTATTTACTACTTATTCAATTACATAGATTGATATTTCGAAATAATATTCCCCTTCCTGTAATCGTCTGCATATAACTGGGTGATACTTTGAAGTTTGTCAACTATCCCCTTGATATATACTTAAAACGGAAACGAGCCCAGTACAGAAAATTGAGGTCGGAGTGAGTGAGTGACTGTGGTTTTACGCCGCTTTTAGCAATATCCCGGCAATATCACGGCGGGGAACACCAGAAATGTTTTTTTACACATTGCACCCATGTGGGCATCGAACCCGGTTCTTCGGCGTGAAGTGCGAACGCTTAACCACAAGTAATAAATGAAATTCGTCTGTAATTGGACGAATGTGAATAGCCCCTTTCTTGAATTAGGGCAAGACAATGTGAACGAAATTCGTGAATATATAAACATATATCAAACAGTGAACATACAGGTTCTCCAACAGTTAACGAGATAGTTTTAAGAAGCCTGTGATTTATATTATCTAGCTCTCGTTGTACAAAACAGCCTTTACCCTAAGACTGTCGTAAGTCTATGTTAATACATGGGAGCTACGATCGCCTTAGAGCTAATATCGCTTTGTACAACGACGCCCTGGGCCCACTTGCACAAAGCGATCTTAGTGCTACGACTATTGTAAGCCTATGTTAAAGTATGGGAGTTACGATCACCTTAGCGCTAATATCGCCATGTACAACGACACCCTGGTCCCCTTGCTATATTAGTAGGCAAGAAATTTATAGATCAATACGTTCATCGCTCTTATAACAAATTCATTGAGCTGTAAATTACATCGACACACACAGAGCGGTAATGTAGTATCCTTGTCAACATCATTTGAAATTGAAGCAAGTAATCACAAGCGCGTCTGCTCCTTCAGAATCAAAATCGCCGGTTTCATGAGTGACGAGGGGAGGGATGTCCGGATATGATCTCGATTTCTTTATAAGATAAGGCAATAACTCTCAACTGCTAGGATTTCTTCCACCTATCTGTGTCACAAGAAACCTGTCTAAGTTGGAGCACGGTTCTTCCTTGGCAACTTTTTCAGATTTTTCACCCTATTTCTTTGTTATCTGAGAACGGTCTCTAATTGTGACTTTCCGTCTGAGCTCGTTATCGAACCACGGCCTACATGTGACTGATCTGGTCGGCGTGCATGTATTAAGTTACTCGTGTTTGCCATAAATGTGTCGCAGGCTTCTTTCTTTGTTCACAACTTAAAGGAGGCACGGGTGGCCAAGTCGTCTAAGGCGCCGCGATTGGCTGGGCAGAGTTGCGTCCCTTGGGCACGCCACAAACCTATGATTGCGGGTTCGTATCCCGGTTCGCCCCGATTATGTTTCTAGGTTTGTCAGCACCATACCCGTGCTCGTGGGTTTCACCGAAGTGGTGAACGTCTGAGACCTGCATCACTTCGGGCTTTCCTCCCACATTAGGCTGACACGCCGTGATATAACTGGAATACTGTTAAATGCGGCATTAAACCCAACTCACTCACTCACTCATGACTTAAAAAAAGGAGAGCGTTGATTGAATGAGAGAATTAGAAGGGAGTTCAGTCGCCCTGTTTCTACGACCTTACTTTTCTTACAAAACACGTTTTCAAGTTGATACAATTGCTGAGAAAAACGTGGTGATTGTGTTCTCTGATGTCCGAGAACCGTTTATTTCTTATATGAGATACCGACATTATGTAAGCCCCTTTAAGGATGTTAATAAAAAGTACAAGGTTTAATAATATTTGCCCTTATTTTAATAATGCAGAGCTCCAGATAAGCTTTTGGTGCTGTGGGTATTTTACCCATGCATTTTAAAATCATTGGGTATCAGTAATTCTATCTGCGTATTCAAATTTCTGTTACCCACTAGTTTTGACACATGTGGGTATTTAAGTTAAATATTTAAAAACACTATTCATCTAGTCCCTGCAAACTGGTGTCGTGTGGGTTCGAGAGCTTTGTAGGACTAAAAAATACCACGATACTTCCACAAGAAAGTGTGATGGCAAATGATCATGATCTGACTGTCATCGTGGAGTTTGGCAAGGTTGACGGAATTGTTTATTCGGGGCCGTTTATTCTCCCTGCAGTGTTTTATGTACTATAAACAACAACCACGAGTCGTTTATTTCTTATTTGAGATATCAATATCATGTACAGCCTCTTTAATGATGAGGGGGCATGGGTTGCCCAGTCGTCTAAAGCGCCGCGATTCGCTGTGCAGAGTTACGTCCCTTGGGCACGCCAGAAACCTATGATTGTGGGTTCGAATCCCGGTTCGCCCCGATTATGTTTCTAGGTTTGTCAGCACCATACCCGTGGTCGTGGGTTTCACCGAAGTGGTAAACGTCTGAGACCTGCATCACTTCGGGCTTTCCTCCCACATTAAGCTGACACACCGTGATATAACTGGAATACTGTTAAAAGCGGCGTTAAACCCAACTCACTCACTCACTTTAATGATGATGACAAAGTGTACAAGCTTTAAAAATATTTACCCGTATTTAAATACTGAATGACTCCCTCAACAGAATCCGACCTCGGCAATGTCGGACAAGTCCATTTTTGGCACAGGTGGGTATTTCCCGCATATTCCCACAATCCTAATGTCAGTTACCTGTACCTTTTCTCCCAATGACCATTGTCATATCTCGTTCGGACATCGCGTTCATCTGCGTTGCCCAGCTACATCTACGGGGAACAATTTACTAGACACCCCTTCTCAAAAATAACGTCGCCCAGTAAACAAAAGGCCATGTGGATGAAGTATCGATTGTGTGAGTCAACACCCATTTCTACACAAGAGAATATGATCATGTGACCAGCAGGAAAAAGGGGCTTGGCATCACGGCGCTATATGGCAGTCGAAATTTCACCTTTAATCAAGCAACAGGTGTTATCCGCCAGTATCCTCCTTGGAGAATCTACAGGTAAGCTTATCTCCGAGGGAGTGAATATACGGATGTCAACTTCTTTATTATGAGAAACACAACGTTTCGGAGTATATGCTTATTCCTTCATCAGTAATATGCTTATTCCTTCAACAGGTGATGAAGGAGTAAGCATATACAGTAAAGTACGGTTATAACGAACTCAAAGGGACTACTAATTTTAGTTCGTTATAACCGTAGTTCGTTATAAGCATATATACAGCATAACTACAGCAAAGAGTCGGGACCAAAAAAGTAAGTTCGTTATATCCGTCAGTTCGTTATAAGCGTGTTCGTTATAACCGTAGTTTACTGTACTCCGAAACGTTGTGTTCCTCATAATGAAGAAGTTGACATCCATATATTCTCTTCCTGATATGAATCACTTCTAAATGCCTTTCAAAGAGCTTATCTCTGATTTTTATGCACGTGGAACCCACCTGGGAACAAGTTACCCTTAATATATACATCCACACGAAATGGTCATTTTCAAAATCGTATCCTGTATTAATTATCTCACGAGACATATTTACAGTGTGACATAATCATACCGAGAAACAGAAATCTATTATCAAAAAATAAATTTCTATCAGATCAATAAGTGAAAGTTACATTTTGTTAAGAGTATATGAACAGACAAGAATAGATTCTTGTATGCTTAACACACGTCGAATAGCAAGATATTTTCCATTTTGAATTTTTTTTCCTTCTTCTCAGTTTGGGGTCTGCTGGTATGAAAGACAGGTATGAAGGGTCTTAGTTGTCCTTTCTTCATACCAGTGAATGCATTTTTAGATCAGGTTTTTAATTCTCATTACAATAAAAGAAAAGATATTCTAAGGTTTCAAGATATTTTCCATTTTGATTTTTTTTCCTTCTTCTCATTTTGGGGTCTGCTGGTATGAAAGACAGGTATGAAGGGTCTTAGTTGTCCTTTCTTCATACCAGTGAATGCATTTTTAGATCAGGTTTTTAATTCTCATGACAATAAAAGAAAATATATTCTAAGGTTTCAGATTCGTTGTTGCAAAACGAGCATAATTCATCTTCACTTTTTCCAATTTTTAGCAAAAATGATTTAGTTAAGTCTTTGAAAGGCATTTAGAAGTTATACATATAAGGAAGAGAATTTATGGATGTCAACTTTTTTATTATGAAGTCGGTGCTAATTATCTAGCCGGCTTCATTTGCCCTTTGTTATTTCCATTCTTTTACCAATCAGTGCTAATTACCCACTGCCTCCCGCTTGCCTATTGTCCATAGCTAATTACCAATCAGTGATAATTTTAGTCCGAGTGTCCAGGTGTCCATTACTATCAGCGTTAATTACTGTGAATCATTGGCTTCTATTGTCTATTGCTAATCACTTGTCAGCGCCAATCAGCTGTTGGCTTCCCTTGTTAAGTTTACACCTTTTGAAAGCAGATCTCTTTAAGGGTATCCTTTTTGAAAATATACCATGTTGATATGGCCAAATTTACAGATTGGTATGTGCTAAATATTGCCATAAACCATTTTTTTGTATATAATTTTTGTATCGAATTTATTTAAGGACTGACTGTGAATCTTTTTCGGTTCGTTGAGGTATGAATCGAAAAAACGATGTATCGGTTTTATTTTATTCTGTAGCATAATTCTTCGTTTTTCAAAAACAGGACCGACCAAGACAGAAAGAGGATGTGATTATGACGTCCAACGTCACAGATGATGCCGACTTCTACAGTGGACCGCTCAGCCATCAAACCTACTTCATCATGGGCGTCTACTTGGCCATCATAGGTAACGACATTTCATCACACGACTACATCATCACTACCACGTCCACATGTGTCAGGAGACCGATGCTCATGATGTCAATCACTGGATTGTCTGGTCCAGATTCGATTATTTACAGACCGCCGTCATATAGCTGAAATATGGCTGAGTGTGGCGTTAAACAGCAAACAAACAAACAAGCATGTGTCAGGTCTTCTAAATGAATAGTTGTCCCCCTTAGTCGTGTCGAGATTCGATCATCGCGAGTTTGAGACCTAGATTCTCCCCGCCAAGGATTCTTGGTTCTTCTCCTCATTGGTGTGACAGACATGACGTAACTGAAATTAATAGTCTGGTTAACCGGCCTTTCGAGATCACGGTTGTCTAACTTGACGCAATTCGTTTCGCAGAGTTGCGTCCCTTAAATGAGTGAGACACGTGTGGGTGATTCGCCCTGATTGTGTTGTATCTTTGTCAGCACCCGTGGCTTTCTCCAAAGTGTTAAACGTCTAAGGCCTGCATAACTTTCCTCCTGCATCCAGGTGAAACTCCCTGAATGTAACCAATATTGTTCACAACGGTTTAAACCAAATTCAACCATGAATTTAGAAAACACTTGATTCCGATTGGTCAATAACAGAGAGAGAGAGAGAGAGAGAGAGAGAGAGAGAGGTTCTGACTTCATATGTTGTGCGTCATAATAAGCGGTGTAGAAAATCACTTGAGCCACGATGCAAGGTTGGCTTAATATTCTGAAGGAGAACCCATTTCATGTTGGTTCACGAAGTAGCTATGACTTCACACATCCTATGCCTGTGAGTGAGTCTGGTTTAACGCCGTTTTTAACAGTATTCCAGTTATATCACGGCGTGTCAGCTTAATGTCGGAGGAAAGCCCGAAGTGATGCAGGTCTCAGACGTTTACCACTTCGGTGAAACCCACGAGCACGGATATGGTGCTGACAAACCTAGAAACATAATCGGGGCAAACCGGGATTCGAACCCACAATCATAGGTTTCTGGCGTGCCCAAGGGACGCAACTCTGCATTGCGAATCGCGGCGCCTTAGACGACTGGGCCACCCGTGCCCCTTTCTATGCCGGTAGTAGATGCGAGTGTAGTATATTGATGCAAGATACAACACAAAGTTTGAGTATATACAGGGACATATTTTATTTAAGGCTAGTGTGTGTGTGTGTGTGTTTCCTTAATTCAGACTGACAACCCACTCAAAACGACGGACTCAACACAATATGTCTATATCCCAATATGCTCTCCCACTCACACTGACGTTTCAGTTTACTCACTCACACTGACGTTTCAGTTCACCAACTTACACTAATGTTTCAGTTCACTCACTCACACTGATGTTTCAGTTCACTCACTCACAATGACGTTTCAGTTCACTCCTGCTGACGTTTCAGCTTACTCAATCACACTGATGTTTCAGTTCACTCACTCACACTGATGTTTCAGTTCACTCACTCATACTAACGTTTCAGTTCACTCACTCACACTGATGTTTCAGTTCACTCACTCACAATGACGTTTCAGTTCACTCACTCACACTGACGTTTCAGTTCACTCACTCACACTGACGTTTCAGTTCACCCACTCACACTGACGTTTCAGTTCACTCACTCACACTGATGTTTCAGTTCACTCACACTGACGTTTCAGTTTACTCACACTAATGTTTCAGTTCACTCACACTGATGTTTCAGTTCACTCACTCACACTGATGTTTCAGTTCACTAACTCACACTGACGTTTCAGTTCACTCAATCACACTAATGTTTCAGTTCACTCACACTGATGTTTCAGTTCACTCACTCACACTGACGTTTCAGTTCACTCACTCACACTGATGTTTCAGTTCAGTCACTCACACTGATGTTTCAGTTCACTCACTCATACTGATGTTTCAGTTCAGTCACTCACACTGATGTTTCAGTTCATTCACTCACACTGTTTCAGTTCACTCACACTGACGTTTCAGTTCACTCACACTAATGTTTCAGTTCACTCACACTGATGTTTCAGTTCACTCACTCTCACTGACGTTTCAGTTCACTCACTCACACTGACGTTTCAGTTCACTCACTCACACTGATGTTTCAGTTCACCCACTCACACTGATGTTTCAGTTCACTCACTCACACTGATGTTTCAGTTCACTCATACTGATGTTTCAGTTCACACACTCACACTGACGTTTCAGTTCACTCAACACAATATGTCTATATCCCAATATGCTCTCCCACTCACACTGACGTTTCAGTTTACTCACTCACACTGACGTTTCAGTTCACCAACTTACACTAATGTTTCAGTTCACTCACTCACACTGATGTTTCAGTTCACTCACTCACAATGACGTTTCAGTTCACTCCTGCTGACGTTTCAGCTTACTCAATCACACTGATGTTTCAGTTCACTCACTCACACTGATGTTTCAGTTCACTCACTCATACTAACGTTTCAGTTCACTCACTCACACTGATGTTTCAGTTCACTCACTCAAAATGACGTTTCAGTTCACTCATTCACACTGACGTTTCAGTTCACTCACTCACACTGACGTTTCAGTTCACTCACACTAATGTTTCAGTTCACTCACACTGATGTTTCAGTTCACTCACTCTCACTGATGTTTCAGTTCACTCACTCACACTGACGTTTCAGTTCACTCATCACACTGATGTTTCAGTTCACCCACTCACACTGATGTTTCAGTTCACTCACTCACACTGATGTTTCAGTTCACTCATACTGATGTTTCAGTTCACACACTCACACTGACGTTTCAGTTCACTCACTCACACTGATGTTTCAGTTCACTCACTCACACTGACGTTTCAGTTCACTCACTCACACTGATGTTTCAGTTCACTAACTCACACTAATGTTTTAGTTCAATCATACTGACGTTTCAGTTCACTCACTCACACTGACGTTTCAGTTCACTCACTCACACTGACGTTTCAGTTCACTCACTCACACTGACGTTTCAGTTCACACACTCACCTTGCCGTTTCAGTTCACTCACTCACACTAACGTTTTAGTTCACTCTCTCACACTGCTGGTTCAGTTCACTCACTCACACTGATGTTTCAGTTCACTCACTCACACTGACGTTTCAGTTCACTAACTCACACTAATGTTTTCAGTTCACTCACACTGATGTTTCAGTTCACTCACACTGATGTTTCAGTTCACTCACTCACACTGATGTTTCAGTTACTTACACTGATGTTTCAGTTCACTTACTCATACTGACGTTTCAGTGGCATATCTAAACCGACCTTTCCCTCTTGGCTTCGTCACACGCTTAAAATAATAACAATAAACATTGCATTTATATACCGCATAAAGGGCACAAAAAGGCTTCGCATTGACAGTGTTTGTTAAAAAGGTGGGTTATATGGTGGGCTTAAAGAGCAGTGATTGAAGGAGATATTTTCACATTATCTAGAAGAGAGTTCCATAGAATCACTGCGGAATAGGCGAAGGTTCTATCGCCAAACGTGGATGTTCTGATTTTCAGGATAGAAAATAGTTTCTGTTGGTGAGATCGGAGAGTGGTGGGATTTCAGTGAGATATTTTAGTGCAATGAAACATTTGTATAAATTGAGAATGATTTTGTATTCAATGGGAGCTGCATCAGGGAGCCAATTGAGTTCTCTCAGTGACGTGATTGACTCCAGCTGTTGATTCACCACACGATTCTTGCCGCCGAATTCTGGATCTTCCGGAGTCTGTATATCTGGTCTTTGGATACATTAGCAAGAATCAATAATCAATACATGCTGCAATAATCCATTCTGGACATCACTGGAGAGAGAACTAGTTTAACAGTTGAAGGACTTGTGAGATAAGGTCCGATATTTTTAAGGTGATAATTTGCTGTCTGACACACCCCGTGACATGATGGTTCATGGCAAGTTGTTGGTCGCGAACCACACCCAAGTTCTTTACTCTAACTGACTGGTAGATGATGTTATTGTTCCGATATCAAGATGGTGAATCTCTACACAATGGATCCGACTCGTTGGTGCTTAGAACCGATCAAGATGAAGTCTGTCTTGTCTTGATTGAGGTGAGGTGAGGTGAAATGGGGTTTAACGTCGCGTCCCAGATTATTGCACTTATATAGCGACGTGCATGCACGTGTGTGTGTGTGGCTGCTTGTACTAGTCCGGACTGATGCCGATTGATAGAGCTAGCTCACTGAGATACCATGCCGCAGTTTTAACATGAATACCCCACTCAGACACAGTATACTGACTCCGAGCCGACCAGTCCTTGTTTTAGCCACTTAATGCCGAGCGCCAGACAGGGTAACAACAAGTACCATCTTTTAACGTCTTTTGGTATGATGCGGTCGGGGATCGAACCCCGGACCTTCCGCTCTCCGGGCGGACGCTCTACCACTAGACCACTGAGGCGGTCTGTCTTGATTGAGTTTTAACCAGTGATATGTCATCCATGTCGACACGGCCGTTCTCAATGCTTGTCAGACATCGGCTAGCCGAACCAAGTTTACACGTTTGGTTTAAACATATTTGTATTTCAAAAGAAATCTGGATCAGTAAACAAGCCAAACCCGCTTATGTATATTCCTCACCAGGTAATAACTTAACAACAACTGGTTATATATAAGATAGTGCTAAACATAAACATACAAAATACACAAATGAAATGCATGAGTGAGTGAGTTGGGTTTAACGCCGCTTTTAACAGTATTCCAGTTACATCACGGCGTGTCAGCTTAATGTGGGAAAAGCCCGAAGTGATGCAGGTCTCAGACGTTTATCACTTCGGTGAAACCCACGACCACGGGTATGGTGCTGACAAACCTAGAAACATAATCGGGGCGAACCGGGATTCGAACCCACAATCATAGGTTTCTGGCGTGTCCAAGGGACGCAACTCTGCACAGCGAATCGCGGCGCCTTAGACGACTTGGCCACCCGTGCCCCCCTGAAATACATGAAGCCAACACATTGAATCAAGTGGTGTCTGTGAAATAAAATAATGCAGTTTTCCATTGTTACATGCATAAACTTAAGCTTCTCAAATATTTTGCTTTTGACAATGAAATAGTGAACTGACTGAAAAATAGTCATGTTTGTAGAATTGCTGACTGAACTACTGCCATGTAAAATCGTTTTTAAATCATACCCAAGTGTGTAGAAATACATAGTGTTTCTGATATTATCGTAGTTTTGACAGGTATAGAAAAAGTGAATTGCATCTTCAAACTGATATCCACAAGTGCAGTCTGGTATGTCTGATACATGTCGTCTAAACTTATCAGCGTTTAAGTCACTGCAAACGTTTGGCAAACACAAACACATCTGCGCATTTTGGTTAATTTGTTGAGAATTTAAATTCGCCTCGTTTGTATGTTTGAGTTCTGGGGTCAACCTATATTGGTGGTAGTAACACATATTATTTGGCATATAATCTAACTCCAAATTAGTCTCTGTAGAATGAGTGAGTATGGTTTTACGCCGCTTTTAGCAATATCACGGCGGGGGACGCCAGAAATGGGCTTCACGCATTGTACCCATGTCGGGAATCGGACCCGACTCTTGGGCGTGACGAGCGAACGCTTTAACCACTAGGCTACCCGACCACCCCAGTCTCTCTAGAAACCAGCAAGGCTTAATGAGAACCTTAGACTGGCCATCAGCTCTATCACAGAACACACATGGCCTCTCTATATTTAATGACATATGTGTCATCATATCGACGAACGAGAGTACATCTCATAGGCTGGAATATTGCCGAGTGCGGCGTTAAAGAAATAAATACATGTTGAAACGAGTTGATCAATGGACCTAAAACATATTTTATGCTACCAAACGGTTTGATCGATCTACTGTGTTTTCAATTCATAAAATGGTTTTCCCACCTTAATAAAGACCACTTGCACAATACCTGGAGAGCTGAGGTTTTTGAGTTTCTCGTTTGTTGACCTTCGCCTGCTCCTTCATCTAAAAACTCTCTGTTCAGATATGCCAAAACTGTTTTTTAAATTATTTACAAAAAATGAAAATTCAATCCAAAACTCATACTCCCTCAACTTTTTAAAAAAAAAAACCCATCGAAACAGAATGATAAAGATAATCCCAACAGACTTTCAATTTTGACTATGGTATAGAGTGTTGTCAAATAGGAAAAGAAATCAAACCTTGATATGGCGGAGCATTGTGTAGAAAGTTTGCCTATTTTCCAACTCAAGTGTGGTTTGTTTACAATTAAAACATCCATTTAAGATATTTGCTTTAACTTTCTTATAGAGTTGTGAGAAAGGAATGCCGGCGATGTTATAGGAAACTGCACCTGATAATGTTGTCGACTAAATCACTTCGTGGACATTTGGTCCTTTGAAAATGACGAGCAATGTCACACATCGCGGACAGTACAGGCGCTGAACACGTTTCGCTGAAATCTTATCTTAATTAACTTCGACCATAACTAACTTGATTCGAAAATCAATGCAGAATGAGAAACATCAATGCCATTGTTGTGTACGCACGGTGTCATCCTGATGTTCCTCATTTGTAGCTCTGAGAAGACTATTGAGAACTGCGAGATGTGGAATTAGTATGATTATTCCAAGACGAAGGATGTCCTTTGTCAGATGGATCTGCTTACTTGGATTACGTGTATATTGTTAAAGTTGTTAGCGAGGCTTTCTAGCACCTGTCGGCAAGTCGAATAATAGCAACAAAAATAACAATAATCTGAGAAGCAAAAGGAACTATACCTGTCAACTTATTTGATCAAATGTTTAATTTTCCATTGGAAATATCATAAGTTATCTCATTATACCCAAAAGATTTACTGTACTGGCGCTTAGTCAGCATTCAAAGAATACCTCTACATGGTTTTGATATATACTCTTCCAAAAAAGAAAAGAAACGCAATACGGATATTTATGTCCGTAAAAGCAAAATTAGCGGACCAAGGGGTGCAAAATGAAGAGGTTTAATGTGTTATAGTGTCAGTGATAAATGTCCTGGATCAAAATTATCACAACAAGGACATGCAAACCATTAGTCGGAAAAACGCACCCGGCGCATTAACGAAAGGGCCATGGAGCTGCACGTTCTGCACGTTCTGCACGTGCAGCAGCACTATGAACGGTATTAAAGTGCAGGGTTTTCGGATTGCCTGGCATCTGCGTCAATCGTACAGTGACAGTTCAAAAACATGCCAAGATTTCATAGAAGTGCAAAGAAACAACGTCATAGGCCGCTTGCAAGCAGGGTAATCCCGATCAGCTGTAGCCAGTGTATTCAATGTAGCACACAGCACCACCACAATCGGTTTCAACAGTAAGGGGTCAACACATGATCGGCCAAGGTCGGGACGACCAAGAGTAACCGCCCCAGCCCAAGATCGCTACATCCGACTGCGCCACCTATGTGAAAGGACGACCACAGGCACCTCAACCGCATCCCAAATACCCGGACTGCGCAGAATATCTGACCAGACCGTACGAAACCGTTTAAGAGCAGCAGGTCTACGAGCAAGACGTCCTGTTCGACGCGTCATATTGAGTCGACAACATCGTTAACAACGACTGTATTGGTGTCGTCAGCACAGGGAATGGCCTCAACTGCGATGGAGAGATATCTTGTTCAGAGACGAATCAAGATTTCTCCTCCGTCGAGGGGATGGAAGAGCACGGGTCTACAGACGTCCGGGAGAACGTTACGCCGAAAACTGCGTACAGGAAGTGGACAGGTTTGGTGGGGGTAGCGTTATGATGTGGGCGGATATCTCTTACATGGACATGTTTGATCCATATCCAGGGCAATCTTACGGCTCAACGATACATCATCGAAATTATCCTACCACACGTCCTCCCAATTGCAGCCAACGGCAACGGTGTATTCCAGCAGGACAACGCTCGACCGCATACAGCACGGATCACAAGAGCCTGTCTACTACAACGTTGATGGTCTCCCTTGGCCCTCCAGATCTCCGGGTTTGAACCCAAAAGAGCACCTGTGGGATGAATTGGATGTGATTCGCATACTCGTCTCTTCCATGGGCAGGAGCTGTCAGGCCGCTATCGATTCCAACGAGGCACATACGCGTTATTGATGGTAGCTGACCTTCATCTTTGACTTTTCCTATGTACCGATAACTGAGATGACTACAATCACCAAGTGTTCTCTCCACAACATTTTGGCGAAATACCTTGTTCCTCGTATAAATGTATTTTCCTATCTCACACAAAAATCTGGCTTTGCGTTTCTTTTTTTAAAGAGTATATATATATGTGATTGATTAAAACAGATGTTTTGTGATGATATATCTTTGAAAACATGGTAGGGTCCATGTGGTTGCAAATTCCTTTCTTACTCCAGTCCTCATTGAACCAGTGTATTTTTACATTGTGGTTCTAAATTTTAAGATTGGGTGATTCTTAGGCAGAAAAAGGTGTTTTCCAAAGGTTATATTTTCTTTTAACATTTTATAGTATACGCCCTTAGAACTCTTGCTGACAACGAACAAAGATCAAACAGGCCTAGCATGTGTGTACTACCTTCATCGTGCGTGTCTAATGACACGTTATAACTTATTGTGTGTTTATTTGTTTGTTTGTTTGTTTGTTATTTAACGCCGCATTCAGCAATATTCCAGCTCTATGACGGCGGCCTGTAAATAATCGAGTCTGGACCAGACAATTCAGTGATTGACATCATGAGCATTGATCCATGCAATTGGGATACGATGACATGCATCAACCAAGTCAGCGAGCCTGACCACCCTATCCCGTTAGTCGCCTCTTACGACAAGCATAGTCGCCTATTACGGCAAGCATGGGTGGCTGAAGACCTATTCTACCCCGGATCTTCACGGGGCTATTGTGTATTTGATATTTGTTCTGGAGCTATGTGTGAACCTATACCCAGGCTGTGAGGATATATGTGAGTATATAGCCTTGAATCTGTTTTTTTAATCCTTGTGTTTTCATCTGTTGATGATGAAGATGAAGTTGAGGATCACTTTTGTCAATTGTTATGATGATATACATACTTTCAGCTGTGGCATCCTACATAGGCAATGGGCTGATTCTCTTCCTCTTCATGAAGAACAAGCTTTTCCGTCAAGCCCACATCAACTTTTTCATCGTCAACATCGTCGTTTGCAACATCGGGGAGTCCCTAATGGGGTTCCCTTTCGGTGTTGCTTCCCATTTCTCCTATAGGTAGGTGTGACTAGAGCACGTACTCTGCTTCCCATTTCTCCTATAGGTAGGTGTGACTAGAGCACGTACCCTGCTTCCCATTTCTCCTATAGGTAGGTGTGACTAGAACACGTACCCTGCTTCCCATTTCTCATGTGGGCAGGTCTGACTAGAGCACGTACCCTGCTTCCCATTTCTCCTATAGGTAGGTGTGACTAGAGCACGTACTCTGCTTCCCATTTCTCCTATAGGTAGGTGTGACTAGAGCACGTACTCTGCTTCCCATTTCTCCTATAGGTAGGTGTGACTAGAGTACGTACCCTGCTCCACATTTCTCATATAGGTAGGTGTGACTAGAGCACGTACCCTGCTTCCTATTTCTCATATAGGTAGGTCTGACTAGAGCACGTACCCTGCTTCACAATTCTCATATAGGTAGGTGTGACTAGAGCACGTACCCTGCTTCACATTTCTCATATAGGTAGGTGTGACTAGAGCACGTACCCTGCTCCACATTTCTCATATGGGTAGGTGTGACTAGAGCACGTACCCTGCTTCCTATTTCTCATATAGGTAGGTGTGACTAGAGCACGTACCCTGCTTCACAATTCTCATATAGGTAGGTGTGACTAGAGCACGTACCCTGCTTCACATTTCTCATATAGGTAGGTGTGACTAGAGCACGTACTCTGCTTCCCATTTCTCCTATAGGTAGGTGTGACTAGAGCACGTACACGGCTCCATATATCTCCGAAAGGTAGGATTGACTAGAGCACCTACACTGTTTCACATTATTGTAATACAATTTTGGAAGGTGGCACTAGGGCACGTGCAGTGTTTCACATTTCTTTAATAGGAAGGTGGCACTAGGGCATGTGAAGTGCTTCACATACATCAAATAGGTAGGTCTGATTAGAGCACGTACAGTGTTTCACATTTCTTTAATAGGAAGGTGGCACTAGGGCATGTGAAGTGCTTCACATACATCAAATAGGTAGGTCTGATTAGAGCACGTACAGTGTTTCACATTTCTTTAATAGGAAGGTGGCACTAGGGCATGTGAAGTGCTTCACATACATCAAATAGGTAGGCCCGATTAGAGCATGTACAGTGTTTCACATTTCTTTAATAGGAAGGTGGCACTAGGGCATGTGAAGTGCTTCACATACATCAAATAGGTAGGTCTGATTAGAGCACGTACATTGCTTCACATTTCTTTAATAGGAAGTTTGCACTAGGGCATGTGAAGTGCTTCACATACATCAAATAGGTAGGTCTGACTAGAGCACGTACATTGCTTCACATTTCTTTAGTAGGAAGGTGGCACTAGGGCATGTGAAGTGCTTCACATACATCAAATAGGTAGGTCTGATTAGAGCACGTACATTGCTTCACATTTCTTTAATAGGAAGTTTGCACTAGGGCATGTGAAGTGCTTCACATACATCAAATAGGTAGGTCTGACTAGGGATGTACACTGCTTCACATTTCTTTAATAGAAGGTGGCATTAGGGCATGTGAAGTGCTTCACATACATCAAATACGTAGGTCTGACTAGAGCACGTACCCTGCTTCCCATTTCTCATATAGGTAGGTGTGACTAGAGCACGTACCCTGCTTCACATTTCTCATATAGGTAGGTGTGACTAGAGCACGTACCCTGCTTCACATTTCTCATATAGGCAGGTCTGACGAGAGCACGTACTCTGCTGCTCATTTCTCATGTGGGCAGGTCTTACTAGAGCACGTACACTGATTCCTATATATCTAATAGGTGAATCTCACTAGAGCACGCACAGTGCTTCGCATATTTGTAATAGGAAGGTCTCAGTAGGACACACATATCTAAGTGTCTCAATCACCAACAGTTAGGCCCCATTGTGATCTTTACCTGCAAATTTTTACAGTAAACTGCGGTTATAACGAACTCAAATTGATCACTAATTTTATTTCGTAATAACCGTCAGTTCGTTATAAGCATATATACAACATCTATACAGCATATGGCCGGGACCAAAAATTAAGTTCGTAATATCCGTCAGTTCGTTATAAGCGTGTTCGTTTTAAACGTATTTTACTGTATTCTAATACGTTACATACAGGTACTATTTTGACACATGCGTAGGTCATTATACAACATAAAGAGGAATATTTAGACACATAGGTTTGAGGTCATTATAAAGAGGTACACTTAGACACATAGATTGTAGGTCATTATAAAGGGGAACACTTAGACACATAGGTTTGAGGTCATTATAAAGTGGAACACTTAGACACATAGGTTGGAGGTCATGATTAGGACGAATGTTTAGACACATAGGTCGGAGGTCATTATAAAGAGGAATATTTAGACACATAGGTTGGAGGTCATCATTAGGACGAATGTTTAGACACATAGGTTGAAGGTCATTATGAAGAGGAACACTTAGACACGTAGGTTGGAGGTTATCATTAGGACGAATGTTTAGACACATAGGTTGAAGGTCATTATAAAGAGGAATATTTAGACACATAGGTTGGAGGTCATCATTAGGACGAATGTTTAGACACATAGGTTGGAGGTCATTATAAAGAGGAATATTTAGACACATAGGTTGGAGGTCATCATTAGGACGAATGTTTAGACATATAGGTTGGAGGTCACTATAAAGGGGAACATTTAGACACATAGGTTGTAGGTCATTGCGTCACACACATATGATATTTTGATTGTAGTTCAAAATACTATTTGCAGGTGGTATTGAGACACATTGGTTGTAGTTCATAGTACTGTTTACAGATGATACTTAGACAATAAATTGCAGTTAATTGCGTTACATACACTATTAAGACACATTGTTTATAATTCTATGATATTATTTACATATGTGCATTCAGACACATTGGTTGTCGGTCATGCGTGGCGTCGTCTTTAATGTTAGCCAGTGTCCGGCACAGGCCATATTGACACGTGGTCATTTACAGGTGGAAGTTCGGCGACATCGGCTGCAGGTTCTACGGCTTCATCTGCTTCGTGTGCTGCCTGGCCAGCATGTGCACCTACGTCGCCATCAGCGTCTACCGCTACATCTCGATCTGCAGACCAACGCTCCGTGAGTACAGCTGTAGCAGAGTACTGAAAACTATGAGAGGGAGGTTTTGTTGACAACACACAGTAAACTACGGTTATAACGAACTGACGGATATAACGAACTCACTTTTTAGTCCCGACTATTTGCTGTAGTTTTCTGTATATATGCTTATAACGAACTACGGTTATAACGAACTAAAAAAAGTAGTCCCTTTGAGTTCGTTATAACCGTAGTTTACTGCATGCTGAATTTTCTGTTTTTGTTAATGACATTTCAGTTGCCATGAGAAATTGCCAATATCTTCCTCACGCGATTAAAATAAAAGAGACAAAAACCCTTTTCATAATCAAAAGAAAGCCATTATACGAATCCGGCTTCAGCAAACTACGGTTATGACGAACTTTAAGGGACCACTAATTTTAGTTCGTTATAACCGTAATTCGTAATAAACATATATACAGCATATATACAGCAAATGGCTGGGACCAAAAAACCACTTCGTTATATCCGCCAGTTCGTTATAAGCGTGTTCGTTACAAACGTATGTGTGGTATGAATCACTATCAATTAGTGATAATACCAGGTGTTCGTGAAAAAGGTGAGCGTATCCTGCACCACCGGTGGCACCCTTCACAAACGCATGCAAAGACAAGTCAATTGTTCACCTGACAACACATGGGAACAGTATCTTACAAGTAAACACAGGAAATTGCATCGGAATCATTATGGTCACTGGTGCGTCAAAAAAAGTCTACCATTAACCTTTTTAAAAGTATTACTAACTCTATGAATGTTGTTATTCTGATCAAACATTTGAGTCAGAGTCGTGTGACGTGTGACATTGGCGTAGAAATAGGGGGCACGGGTGGCCCAGTCGTCTAAGGCGTCTAAGGCGTCCAATTCGTTGTGCAGAGTTGTGGTACGACAGAAACCTATGATGGTGGGTTCGAATCCCGATTCAAAACGCTTCTGCCTCTAGGTTTGTCCGCACCGTGCCCATTGTTTCACCATAGTAGTAAATGTCTGAGACCTGCATCACTTTCCTCCCTCATCTAGCTGACACGCCGTGGTATAACTGGAATTTTGTTCAAATCGGCGTTCAACCCAACTCACTCGTAGACGGAGCATGCACAAGCGTACCTCAAATGTGAAATGTAGACTCTTAAGGCTGGAGTTGATGGAATGTTGCTCCAAACAGAGGGAAGGTTGACCATTGTTGAAATGATGAAACAGTAAATCTTCGTATCTCCCGTGTTCTTGTCCAACTTACTGATTTGAGGACCCGTGAAGATCCGGGGTAGAATAGGTCTTCAGCAACCCATGCTTGCAGTAAAAGGCGACTATGCTTGTTGTGAGAGGCGACTAACGGGATCGGGTGTCAGGCACGCTGACTTGGTTGATACATGTCGTCGTATCCCAACTGAGTAGGTCGATGATCATGGTGTTAATCACTGTATTGTCTGGTCCAGTTTCGATAACTCACAGACTGCCGTCAAAAAGCTGAATCATGAAAATATCATTATAATATCAGTAGGGGGTTGCTTGGGGATTGTGGGGATGGATGCATCCTACTTTTCTTCCACTCTCGGGGATTTACAATTCCAAGCATAATCAAGGACCCGTGCTTGTGGGTTTCACCAAAATGGTAAACGTCCAAGACCCACATCACTTCGGGCTTTCCTCCCACATCAAGCTGACTAGCCGTGATATAACTGGAACAGTGTTCAAAGCGGCGTTAAACCCAACTCACTCACATCGAAGAAAGAGCATGACCGATTCCCCCTCAAATGTGACAGTGTACATAGATACCTAAAACAATAAACACAAATAAATGAAATATATCAAAATATTAGTTATAATCTCGGGGATTTGACAAAACGCATCGGTGATTTTAATTTAGTGCGTCTTTGTGACATTTAACCCAATTTTATTCGAACAACCATCTGAAAACATCAAATGACGTCACGGGTTCCAAATCTCGATAATGGTGACCATATGTCAATTAAAATAAATCCATCCAAATTATTTAAAACATGAGATCATACATACATACATACATACATACATACATACATACATACATACATACATACATACATACATACAAAGACGTCATTTGACAAATTGTACCCATGTGGTAAATCGAACCCATATCTTTGGTGTGACGAACCAATGCTTTAACCACTAGGCTACCCTCCGCCCGACAATACAATGATGGGGGTGTTTGGTGGTGATTGTGGCCAAATGTGCTGCGAGTTGTTCTCTAAAGTAATATTGCATTTGTTTGAGTTGACGGACGACAACGTAAACACAATTATGAACAACAACGTCTTTATTGTTTTGCATGAGGCACACGTTCGGCAAGACGTGACCACGTAATGTAAAAACCACGTGATCAATAGATGATGTTTCATTGGCCAAGAGCTTTAGTGTTACTTTATGTCTGTTTTAGTAGGACGACTTCTGAACGGCCGTCGGATTCCCTTGGTCCTGGTCGTGATCTGGGTGTATTCATTGTTCTGGGCAACCATTCCTTTTTTCGGGTGGGGAACATACGCTCCAGAACCTTACAAAACCACCTGCAGTCTTGCCTGGACCGACCGGAGCCCCTCTTCTATCTCTTACATCATCAGCGCCATCATCTTTGTCCTCATCATCCCCATGACGATCATGATTTTTGCCTACACCAAGATTCTGATAAGAACCTGCTCGCAGGTGTCGGGAGACGATTGGCCTCAAGAAAACGTGCAACTGCCAACTGGACATGCCAAACATGGCGTTAACTACATCCGGGACATTGAATCACGGACGACTACGGTAAGACCCCATTCGTGACCAGCTCGTGTTATTCCGGGACAAGCCGAATAGCGACTCGTGCCCCTCTCGTGGCCATTTTTGCGACTGGGTTCCGTCTAAGCGCAAACGGGCATAGCTAAAAGAATTGTCAACTCGTTGCGTGATGATTCACATATATTTCCGCCATATATCATATATATTTCAGATGTTATTTAAAACATATCGGGACATACAGTATCCTACAGTATGGTTGAACACATTCAACTGTTTTTCGCACATGACATTCATCGATAGGGGGACGAGTCTTCTTGCAGGTTACGGAAAGGGGCGAGTGGTGACGAATGGGTAAGACCCAAACGATTTGTAAAACTGGTGTTCGGGTTTAGGGGGGCACAGGTGGCCCAGTAGTCTAAGGGCCGCGATTCGCTGTGCAGAGTTGCGTCTCTTGGGCACGCCAGATTGTCGGTTCGAATCCCGGTTCGCCCCGATTATGTCTCTTGGTTTGTCAGCACCATACCCGTGCTCGTGGGTTTCACCGAAGTGGTAAACGTCTGAGACCTGCATCACTTCGAGCTTCCTCCCACATTAAGCTGACACGCCGCGATATAACTGGAATAATGTTAAAAGCGGCGTTAAACCCAACTCACTCACTCACTCACTCGAGCAGACCACATTACACAGCCGATGATGAATGTATAAATTTAAAACGTTGTACCACTCCCCTCATTAACTGACGGCTCCGGAGTTGACTGGTGATCAAAATGCGTTGGTCATTTTTCTTTTTCTTACATTTCATTCCAAGATTTGTGTTTTTTTCATCGAAAAGGTGAGTGAGTTGGGTTTAACGCCGCTTTGAACAGTATTCCAGTTAAATCTCGGCGTGTCGGCTTTGTGTAGGAGGAAAGCCTGCAGTGATGCAGGTCTCAGACGGTTACCACTTTGATGAAACCAAAGGGCACGGGTATGGTGCTGACCAACCTTAAAACATAATCAGGGCGAACCGGGATTCGAACCCACAATCATAGGTTTCTTGCGAATTGTGGCGCAATTGACGACAGGGCCACCCGTACCCGCTGAAAAGGTTGATAAGTACATGGACTTCAGATGAGACCTGTGCCCCGTTCCACAGAGCGATCTTAGTGCTAAGTTGGTCGTAACTCCCATACTTTATCATAGGCTTACGATCAACGTAGCACTAAGATCGCTTTGTGGAACAGGGCCCAGTTATGTTATATTACCCATTGGGGCAAGGCACTACATTGACTATAGTCACTGTCCGACTGACTAATCATTGATCTTCTGACGTAATATATTAATGCGCATATTCCATTAAAACTTGTAAGGTTTATGTACGGCAGAGACCATATATGGTCTCCGGGTACCGTTTGTAAGACATGAGAATAGGTTTTTAGATGGCAATGTAAGAATCACAGAATAACGAGGCTCGCTAAAAACATTGTTACTTCCTGATACATGATATTTACCGTCCCAAAACACGTGATAAGCTCTTAGGTTAAGCGGTTGTTGTCTTTTGACATCATTTATTCATGTTGCGGTTCGAGTCTTGTGTTATAAGATTTGTGGTAGATTTGTTACACGCTGGGAAAGCAACACCGCGCTCCTCTTTCTCCCGCGAGATCATACGGCCCCTCTTCCATCTCGTTGGTTGGTTGGTTGGTTTGTTGTTTAACGCCGCACTCAGCAATATTCCAGCTATAGGACGGCGGTCTGTAAAAAATCGAGTCTGGACCAGACAATCCAGTGATTGATATCATGAGCATCGATTCACGCATTTGGGATCGATGACATGTATCAACCAAGTCAGCGAGTCTGACAACTCGATCCCGTTAGTCGCCTCTTACGATAAGCACAGTCGCCTTTTACGGCAAGCATGGGTTGCTGAAGACCAATCCTCCCCGGATCTTCACGGGTATTCAATCTAGTAGTTACTGGTGTCTATTTTCAATCTTGTAGTGACTGGTGTCTATTTTCAATCTTGTAGCGACTGGTGTCTGTTTTCAATCTAGTATTGACTGGTGTCTATTTTCAGGAAACTAATGAAATGAGGTCTTAATCAAAAGATCGTATTACCCCCGGACCTCCAATTAGTCCTGTTCCGTGCTGAACGCTGTGTGAACTCTACGGTTGTCCGGCTTTGAGGCATCGTGTAGAGCCGCAAGGCAATGTGTGGGTCATTGTCATGTTGCACCTTGTGTACCGGCCATTTCAGGGCTCGTAAATATAAAATCGAATCTGTGACAAATTAGTGATTGATATTATGAGCAATGTCCTATACCGTCGGGGTATCGTGACACCAATCAACCAAGTCATCCGGCCTGACCACCTGATCTATTATGTGAGTGAGTGAGTATGGTTTTACGCCGCTTTTAGCAATATTCCAGCAATATCACGGCGGGGGACACCAGAAATGGGCTTCACACATTGTACCCATGTCGGGAATCGAACCCGGGTCTTCGGCGTGACGAGCGAACGCTTTAACCACTAGGCTACCCGACCGCCCCTGATCCATTAAGTCCCCGCAAAACCCGTGCATCAAGGGCAACTATTGATTTATTTTGCGCGGAATCAGCCACAACTAATCGATTTGGCGAAATATGATTTTTGGTTTGGTTTGTTGTTTAACGCCGCACTGAGCAATATTCCAGCTGTATGGCGGCGGTCTGTAAATAATCCAGACCAGACAATCCAGTGATTGATATCAGGAGCATCGATCCACGCAATTGGGATCGATGACATGTATCAACCAAATCAGCGAACACGACCACCCGATCCCGTTAGTCGCCTCTTACGACAAGCATAGTCGCCTTTTACGGCAAGCATGGGTTGCTGAAGACCTATTCTACCCCGGATCTTCACGGGTCTGGCGAATTATGAATGTGAATGAGCAATGTATTACTATTATTGATGATTTTTCATAACATTTTTCTGCGTTGTATCAGCGCTTGCAACATTCCTTATTTGATGAAATAACCATCAACTAACTGTATGCCGTTGTTTCAGGTTGTTTTCGTTACCGTGGCGTTGTATGTGATTGCCTGGTCCCCCTACACTATCATGTCCTTCTTGTCGGTGTGCGGGGTTCGAATCCCGGTGGAGGTGACCCCCATCCCCACAATGTTCGCCAAGTCCAACTGTGCCTACAACCCCATCATCTATTTCGTGGCCCACCGTCGATTCCGCGCATCGTTGATGGAGTTGTTCGGCATCTCAAGCTCCCTTGCTGCACCTGTAACCAAGGATATCAAGCCATGCCAAGAAGAGATGATGGTCGTCAGGCGAAATCAACCGGAAGTGGAGGAACCGTCCAGAACGTCTCAAAATCGTTAATGTCGTCAGTCCTCCTAGCCCTCTATTGGCGTGGAACGAATTTTCTATTCATCTCATGTGTCCTCATTCCGACTCGGTGTCTTTTGTCAGATTCGTGAGGATCGTTACTATTTGCATGGCAACCATGCGTCAGATTCACAAAGCGATAGTTCAAATCATATAGTGAGTGAGTGAGCTTGGTTTAACACGCATTGAACAGTATTCCAGTTATATCATGTGTGTCAGCTTCAAGTGGGAGAAAAAGCCTGAAGTGATGCAGGTCTCAGACGTTTACCACTTTGGTGAAACCAACGAGTCCGAGTATGGCGCTGACAAACATTATCCAGGTGAACCCGGAATTGAACCCACGATCATAGGTTCCTGGCGTGCCCAAGGGACGCAACTCGGCACAGGGAATTGCAGCGCCTCAGACGACCCATGCCCCTTTTAACCATTTAGACATAATTACGTCCTTACATCCTTAATATTTCTCTTTCAAATAAATATGTTGTATCATTGTTTACCTTGCAATTGTATTATTGTAGCTGTGGTTGTATCAATTTTTTTATTTTTGTTTGTTTGTTGTTTAACGCTGCACTCAGCAATATTCCAGCTATATGACGGCAGTCTGTAAATAAATGAGTCGGGACTAGACAATCCAGTGATTGACATCATGAGCATCGATTCACGCAATTGGGATACGATGACATACATCAACCAAGTCGGCCAACCTGACAACCGGATCCGGTTAATTGTCTCTTACGACAAGCATAGTCGCCTTTTACAGCAAACATGGGTCGTTGTCCATATAATTGCATGTCTCTTTCATGTTCTGCAAAATAAATACCAAAAGCCTGACTTGGTGAGGGAATATTGTCATCTGTCATATATATGGGTGAGTGAGTGAGTTGGGTTTAACGCCTCTTTTAACAGTATTCCAGTCATATCGCGGCGTGTCATCTTTCTGTGGGAGGAAAGCCCGAAGTTATGCAGGTTTCAGACGTTTACCACTTCGGTCATTCGTGACCGACTCGTGTTATTCCGGGACAAACCGAATAGCGACTCTTGCCCCTCTCATGGCCATTTTTGCGACCGGGTTCTGTCTTAGCGCAAACGGGCATACCTAAAACAATTGTCAACTCGTTGCGTAATTGTTCACATATATTTCAGATGTAATTTAAAGCACATCTGGACATGCAGAATTATAGAGTATGATTGAACACATTTAACTGTGTTTTGGGTATATTTTTAGATGCAAGACATGTATAAAATCAAAAGTTATTTCTGAGGGATTCTTTGACGAAGAACTTGAAATCATACGCGCATTCTGATTGGTTTGTCGTATTTTCGCACATGACATTCACCGATAGGGGGACGAGTCTTCTTGCAGGTTACGGAAAGGGGCGAGTGGTGACGAATGCAACTTCGGTGAAACCCACGAGCACGGGTATGGTGCTGACAAACCTAGAAACATAATTGGGGCGAACCGGGATTCGAACCCACAATCACACTCTCCTACCCAGAGTTCCATGCGGCCGGCAGCCAGCTAGCATAGTACCTCTGCCACAGGCCAGCGCCATGTGACGATTCGTCACATCTTTCATAGTCCATTCAAGATATTGCATATGCTTTTCATCCGTTTCATGTTTGACAAGTCTACACATTTTCATAAACAAATGTCAAAGAATGGTTAACTTTCATTGAGAAAGTATGCAAATACGTAAAAATCTACTTGTTTTTGCGTAGTTATCCTATGTTTACATTGGTTGTACGGCTCCACGTGCTGTCATCGAAGCCCAACGGAGAGCTAGCGACACGGTCACTTTGATGCATAAATATATATTGTCATGCAACTCACTGTCGCAGTTGTAGTAGCATATCTATATAGTTATGCAAAACAATATGTAAAGCGCCCCCAAATACTTGCATTAGTCCGTTCTATACTGATTTCTGAAAAAGCGCGTTTGTTTACAAACAAGAGAAAAGTCCGGTCACGTGATATGCAAATTAGCCTGTGGCAGTGGTGTTATGCTGAGTCACCACTGCGACGGAGTGTGCCACAATCATATATTCTGGCGTGCCCAAGGGACGCAACTCTGCACAGCGAATCGTGGCGCCTTAGACGACTGGGGCAAACACAATCTAACTTACCTGCTGAATGACACGCAAACACAATCTAACCTACCTGCTGAATGACACGCAAACACATTCTAACCTACCTGATGAATGACACGCAAACACAATCTAACCTACCTGCTGAATGACACGCAAACACAATCTAACCTACCTGCTGAATGACACGCAAACACAATCTAACCTACCTGCTGAATGACACACAAACACGATCTAACCTACCTGCTGAATGACACGCAAACACAATCTTACTTACCTGCTGAATGACACGCAAACAAAATCTAACCTACCTGATGAATGACACGCAAACACGATCTAACCTACCTGCTGAATGACACGCAAACACAATATAACCTACCTGATGAATGACACGCAAACACAATCTAACCTACCTGCTGAATGACACGCAAACACAATCTAACTACCTGATGAATGGCACGCAAACACAATCTAACCTACCTGCTGAATGACACGCAAACACAATCTAACCTACCTGCTGAATGACACGCAAACACGATCTAACCTACCTGCTGAATGACACGCAAACACAATCTAACCTACCTGCTGAATGACATGCAAACACAATCTAACCTACCTGCTGAATGACACGCAAACACAATCTAACCTACCTGCTGAATGACATGCAAACACAATCTAACCTACCTGTTGAATGACACGCAAACACAATATAACCTACCTGCTGAATGACACGCAAACACAATCTAACTACCTGATGAATGGCACGCAAACACAATCTAACCTACCTGCTGAATGACACGCAAACACAATCTAACCTACCTGCTGAATGACACGCAAACACAATCTAACCTACCTGCTGAATGACATACAAACACAATCTAACCTACCTGCTGAATGACACGCAAACACAATCTAACCTACCTGCTGAATGACACGCAAACACAATCTAACCTACCTGCTGAATGACATGCAAACACGGTCTAACCTACCTGCTGAATGACATACAAACACAATCTAACCTACCTGCTGAATGACACGCAAACACGATCTAACCTACCTGCTGAATGACACGCAAACACAATCTAACCTACCTGCTGAATGACACGCAAACACGGTCTAACCTACCTGCTGAATGACACGCAAACACAATCTAACCTACCTGCTGAATGACACGCAAACACAATCTAACCTACCTGCTGAATGACACGCAAACACAATCTAACCTACCTGCTGAATGACACGCAAACACAATCTAACCTACCTGCTGAATGACATGCAAACACAATCTAACCTATAGTCTGGAAGGTAATTTAAGGTACCGACGTTTACAATATCTGAAAAACTATTGGACCTACTCCAGTCAAAGTTGGTATGAGATTATTAAATAGTCATGCATAACTGGATATTACATTTAAAGACAATCGGTGCATGAACAAAAACATCTGTCTATTTAGCTATCACTATATTTTATCAACAACCAGACCTGTTCGTCATGGGTGGAACGAGCATTCATTGTAACAGCCATTTGCATAATGCTACCCCTGCGTCACAGGGCCATATGACACAGTTGAACCAATCAAACCAATGGAATATAGTGATAGCTAAATAGACAGATTTTTTATTCATGCACCGATTGTCTTTAAATGTAATATCCAGTTATGTATGACTGTTTAATAATCTCAAACCAACTTTGACTGGAGTAGGTCCAATAGTTTTTCAGATATTGTAAACGTCGGTACCTTAAATTACCTTCCAGACTATACCTGCTGAATGACTACCAAACACAAGGGGGCCAAGTTACCACCACCAACAAAAATGCAAAGTATGTGTGATGTCTTATGCATATTGCAGTATTTCAAATTCCATGTGTAAGTCCAAATATAGCGATTGAGAGGAGACTCCATGACAGGGTCTGTCCGAACATTGGTTGCATCAGAACAGTATTATCAGATAGCTCTTACGTGCAGGGCGGTCGGGTAGCCTAGTGGTTAAAGCGTTCGCTCGTCACGCCGAAGACCCGGGTTCGAATCCCGACATGGGTACAATGTGTGAAGCCCATTTCTGGTGTCCCCCGCCGTGATATTGCTGGAATATTGCTAAAAGCGGCGTAAAACCAAACTCACTCACTCACTCTTACGTACATGTTTCAATTCATTTAATTCCTTTCAACATCAAAACTCTATTGTGTCCAATCAGACTTTCAGTGCAAATTTTCCGCCTCGACTCTTAATTCGTATGTGTGTCGGATGCCATATTTTGCATTTCGTAAAACCCTGCAGTACCACTGGACCATGGGGAAACATAGTATAAACCACATTGTAATTAATTTTCACCCAAAAGGAAAACAGATCACAAAAGCATCAAAATTATTATAAATATTTCTAAAATGGAACACACTCAGGCAACTGGGTCTAGTTTAATATGACCTTCACAATGACCTTGACCTTCAACAGAGGTCACTGAAACTGTTTAAAGCATAAAAAGCCTGAGCTTGTTATGCAAGGAATGGTCCTATGACCTCCACTGTTCAATGAGTGAGTGAGTGAGTGAGTGAGTTGGGTTTAACGCCGCTTTTAACAATATTACAGTTATATCACGGCGTGACAGCTTAATGTGGGAGGAAAGCCCGAAGTGATGCAGGTCTAAGACGTTTACCACTTCATAATTGCAGCGAACTGGGATTTGAACCCACAGTCATAGGTTTCTGGCGTACCCAAGGGATGCAACTCTGCACAGCGAACGCGGCGCCTTAGACGACTGGGCCACATGTGCCCCCGGCGGTCCAATGATTATGGAAAGGACAAGGTGACACGATTCTTTGGTATTCTGTTTATTTTTCCTTCAACTTGTAAAACAAAGGACGCTAGTTGTTCACTTGATGATTTAAAAAACACACCGGTAGGGTTCAACGAGAAGGTAACCGGCAATAGTAATTGGTGACAATAATTATCTCAAATGTGAATGAAATGAAGGTTCCAAAACGATATGATTAATATGCAATATTAAAGTTGATGACAATGTTCTTTTAATGAATAGGTAATATGTGTGTCCACACACTTTTACATCACGAGTAGAGGTGTGTTTGGCGTCAGAAAACAATATTTAAAAAATGTTATAAGAATTGAGAGTGTCAATTAAACATTTCTGTTAGAATGCAAAACACATAGGCATTAGAAATAAATCCAAATCTGATGCTACACCTGTAAAACTATTAACTAACGGACAGGATGAATAAATACAGGATTTAATTAGTTGACTGCATACACTCTAGAAAATGCACAGCTATTGCCAAACAGAACTATGGCTATTTTATCATGGTAATAGAGTTTTATCATGATGACAACACAAGACTAGCCCATTTGATAAACAACTGTGGAAAAGTAATCAACTATATTTATAGCAGTACAAAAGAAGCATTGACAAGGAGTGAGTACGAGCGTAACTTTCTGCTGTGTTGAACAGAATTCCGTTATTTCACGGCATGTCCTCTTAGCTTAATATGCAAGCAAAGACCAAGTGATGAGGCTGTGAAACTATCAAGCAGAAGCATGGGCATATAGTGCCAATAGACCAGGAAAATCAGTCAGGGCGAACCTGGGACTTGCACCCACTTCACTGCAGGCAAAATGACCTAATATATCAGTTTCATCAAAGTTCAACTGACCTGGATTTCATAAAAAATGAAGAAAAGAAATCTGTATGACATGTCATACACGCAAAAATATCTTGTGATTACTAGAGCTGTCACAGTTTCCGTTTAGATGTACCAAAGATGTGTTGTACTTCGACCGGGACAACTTGAGATGATTTGTGTTTCACACTAGATGCTGAAGCATTGAGTTGGATGAACTTTCTGTGTATCGGAGCAGTTTCCTTGTAGCTGATTCATGATAAAAGCTTCTCTTCCACATGGTCGGCCTACCATGGCCAATTGTACTGCTAACAAGAGTTATCTGTCCTTGTCAACTAATTTCGTTTAGAGTTATCTCCCCTCCTTGAGTCCTTGAAAACTGACTCAAGTCCATCTATACCAGACCTGTTATTAGGTAGTTGAGTAACCGTCCTAGCCTTAGTGATTATTCACCAAACATTAAAATAACAGTTCATGTTTCACTACATGGATCAGGCTTACTTGAATTATGCATCATAAAATAAGAGTGCTGTCCCTTGGCCTTGACACGCAAACTTTGGCAAAACTAGTCTTAGTCTTCTAAGAAAACCCAACATTTCGTCTTCAGCAACCCATTCTTGCCTTAAAAAGGTGACTAAGCTTGTCATAAGAGGCGACTAATCGGCTCGGTTGGTCTGGCTCGCTGACTTGGTTGAAGCATATCATTGATTCCAATTGCGTGGATAGATGCTCATGATAATCAATAACTGGCTTGTCTGGTCCAGACTCGATTATTTACAGACCACAGTCATATAACTGGAATATTGCTGAGTGTGGCGTAAAACAACAAACCAACCAACCAACCACACTAGAAAGAGAAATAAAGGCCCAAGGGACATAACTCTGCACAGGGAAAAAGAAGACTCAGTCCTGATGGTAATAGCATCCCAACAATCCTTTCAAAAAAAACCTTTGACTCTCATTCTGTCAAAGACAAATTACACAGTACCATTGACGTCTGTGTAGCAAGTGTATGTTTGAATGAATGATCTTTATTCTACATAAATTAAACATGCTAAATGTACATATTTCATACGTACATGAAGCCATCACCACAACATATGAACAACTCTTTGCTCAATCACGTCCTGTTTAAAGTCCATCAGACAGACTGAACATACATTTCAACGGCCTACTAATGTAAGCTCTATCAACAAATCAGTTTGCCATAATTATTCCCCCCTCCCAAAAATACATTCCGCCTTGAAACAAATTCAGCTGACACAGTATTTGTCATAAGGCGACATCAGATTTCTATCTCAAACATGAGCTTTTTCATCAAAATAAAAAGAATATCTGAGATGGTCTATTGAATGTGCATTTCCATTCAAGATATGTACGCAAATTTGTAATAGTCGAAAATCTGAGCTGATGCCTGTTAACCTGATATATACAAGCTAGGAAATGGACAAATCGTCAGTCTTGGCATCCTGTTCAACTGATGTCAGAGATCAGTATCATAGGAACATCAAAGTGACTTAAACATTATAAACACAATTCACTAAAAATATATCTCTTGTGACTCATAATTTTGGATGAAAATCTAATAATTACTTCATTGGCCTAAACTACTGGTGTCATAACTTGTCATCAATACACGGTCATCAGGAGTCAATCATTGTGATGCTCAAATGGTTTGATCAACATGTACACCTCAAACTTAATTCCTGTCAACAATCAATCTACAGTCAAGTCTCGTTAATCCGACACTCGTTAATCTGACACTAATGATGGGAACCGATTAAATCAGTGCTATTTAGACCCGTTAATCCGACAGTCTCGCACTCCGACTCCAAGACACCTAATTTGCAACGAATTACCAAAATCACTCATTAATCCGACACAGTGATCAGCTTACTCTGTGGTCATCTGCCCGCGAGTGCACAGCCCGTGTTTTGATGCGAGACGAGTCGGCTGGTAGCTGCATATTACAACGGCTGCAGATATCAACATATTCCGCTAACAATGTAACATAACAATATGAATATTTCATTTTTATTTTTTTATTACGTGTTTGTATCGTTATCTATCGTGTAGTTGTCCGATTTTCGATCACAAACGTTGATACTACTTAATTTCGTTTATCTGGCATACTCCTTAATCCGACATAATCATATGCAACCAACCATGTCGGATTAACAGAACTTGACTGTATTTTGAATATTTGTGCTGTCATTTTTTCAAACGGTTAAACATTGTTGATGCATTCCAATTATTCTGAAGGCAACTGCCAGAAACAAGATGCAAGCATAGCATTACAACGTAACAAACCAACTCTAACTCTAAAGTATATCTAAAGCAGATTTTGGTAAATTCATAAGGCATGAACACTATTTGGTGTTCAAAATCAAGCAAGAAAAACAAGGAGTCCATCCCAAGTCAGGATGCTAGCTTTGGGGGGTCTAGATTCAAATGCCTCAGGAGACTTTAAGGACCTCCCTTAATTTCGACCACTTGACAAGCACAAGGTTCATAATTTTATGATGTCATATGATTTACTTGACTTAAGCCGCTCATTATGGAGTACTCTGAATCAAACACACCGTCTCCGTGGCAACATGGGTGATCTGGGCAAAACAAGATGGCCGTCACAGGGTGTTCTCTAACGGAGATGAAGATGAATGGAACCTGTTGAAAACAAGGACAACTGACCTCCATTAACAAAACGAAAGTGCCTTCCTTCGAACGAACCAGCTGATCACACATCCTTCGATCTCAGATCAGATCACAGATGCTCACACAGATCCTGATCACAGATCTTTTCATCAGGCATCCTCCAGACTCCCCAACTCGACCGAGGAAAACCAGCAAGTCGCTATCAGATCGTGTCGTCTGATGTCACCCTCTGCGGTATTGGAGATTGATAAGCACCTGTCACCACGGTGGTCATCGACCTGGAGCTAGATCTCAGCATGTCCTGTCCTGTTGTCACTCTGTGACTCTCATTTCATCAGTCTCACAATGTGGTTCATGACGTCATCTCGGGACAGCTTGTCAGGGTTTCGTTCCTCTTGACTGTCGTGCACTTTCACCCCCTTCTCCCACAGCCACTGGAGGCTGTTCATCTTACAGTCTCTGAATTGAGGAATGTAAAGCAGTGGACAGTAAGCTCAAAAATATAAATTGTTTGTTGTTCTTTTTTAACATGTTTATTTTTTTTATCATATTACGAACAAAGTTTTCTGACCATGAACACTCTCTAATCAGCACTGTGAGTGAATGAGTGAGTGAGTTGGGTTTAACACCGTTTTTTTAACAGTATTTCAGTTATATCACAGTGTGTCAGCTTAATGTGGGAGGAAAGCCAAAAGTAATGCAGGTCTCAGACATTTAGACCTTCAGCGAAACCCACGAGCATAGGTATGGTGCTGACAAACCTAGAAACATAATCGGGGCGAAGCAGGATTTGAACCCACAATCATGGGTTTCTGGCCTGCCCAAGGGACGCAACTCTGCACAGAGAATCGCGGCGCCTTACACGACTGATTCCGGTTAAAATAAGTATACAGCAACCTATGCTTGTTGTTGAAACCGTCCTTATTACATCAATCACTGGGTTCTCTGATCCAGACTGACTGACCCACCAGAATCATATAAAAATATACTTCTTATGTAACAACAGAAATTTGTTTCACATTCATGTTTCAACCGACCCACCCAATTGGTTTACAAAGATCTGAAAACACCACTTCAAACAAGGTTTGGCCTTAAACAAGAGAGTAAGATGTAGATTACCAACCTGACAGATGCGATACAATCTAGTCGGCACTCGAACGATGACTCTCTGTTGGCTGTGTTGTACCAGTACTTCCTGTTGGCAGACCGACTTAGCGCCATCATCCACGGATCTGACACACAACCACAATACAGTGAGTGAGTGAGTGAGTTGGGTTTAACGCTGCTTTGAACAGTATTCCAGTTATGTCATGGCGTGTCAGCTTAATGTGGGAGGAAAGCCCAAAGTGATGCAGGTCTCAGACGTTTACCACTTCGGTGAAACCCACAAGCACGGGTATGATGCTGACAAACCTAGAAATCTATTCGGGGCGAACCGGGATTCGAACCCACATAGATTTCCGGTGTGCCCAAGGGATGCAACTCCTTAGACGCCTTAATCGACTAGGCCAGCCGTGCCCCCCACAATACAGTGAGTGAGTGAATGAGCTTTGTAATATCTCTATAGTAGTGTGTCAGCTTTAATTGGAGGGCGACCTCTTGCACCTTCATTCATCTGAAGAAAGGGCAAGAATTAAAAACAAGAAAGAAGTTGTCGGTTGAGTCCCACCCGGGATTGGATGGTCCGTGATCTAGACACCAGTTGTCGGGCTGTCATTTTTGTGGAAGCCACGGTGGCTGAGTGGGTTAGACGTCTACGCTGCCTTTGTCAATCTCATTAAAATCAGATCTTAGTTTTCGCTACCGCAAAACAAAGATCTGAGGACATCCCATTACGGGTCACGTCAGAACGACCTTTCACGAATTTTGGCCGACCAATGAAATGACTGACAAGAAATCGACATTAGCCAATCAGAAGGCAGCTTTCTTGAGCTTTATGACACTAGTTTCAAACTGGCGACTACACTTCGAAACATATTTTGACGTATTCTCGATTAAAAAAAAATTAAAACTGATAAAAAGAACATTCTGGAATGGCATATAGATGGCCTAGATTGTATGGATATAATCATAAAACCCGTAACTGTCGTTCGGAATACCCTCTGTTAAATATTTCGTGGTTGCATGATTAGAAAACACATTCCGACTGTCACTTTCATGATCTGGTAAGCGACGCTCTGATTGGTTGGATGAAAGGTCGTTCTGACGTGACCCGTAATGGGATGTCCTCAGATCTTTGTTTAGCGATAGCGAGAACTAAGATCTGATTTTAATGAGACTGCTGACTTTGTGTGCTGGCGATTAGGTGCCTCACTCTGGCAGGTTGGATTCGAATCACAGATGAGACTCAACCCAAAAAAGTACTACAATCCCTACTTTACTAAGAAAGTGTTATCCAAAATACATTTCTTACATAAGACCACTGTCTAAATGGCATTGTGTTCAAAGAAAGATGTTGTTATCCATAAAAAAATCATATATTCATGTTCTTTTAACTTCAAAATGCCTATCAAAGACTTGATGAAGCTAGTCTGCTCCTGAATACCATCAACTTTGATAGTCCATCTACTCATAACCTGAAGAGGTTAAAAGCTCTAACTCAAGCCACCAAAGTAGGACTATAGACTCACAGGCCATCACTCACAAGTCCTCAACTGACTTGCATGGTTAAAAACTGGTAGATATTCACCAGTTATTGTTGAAAAGAACTTTGTGCACATCTTGAGAGATGAAAACATTCATATATGATAGTTGTCAGAAAACAAAGGAATTTTGAAGTATCTGATGACATACAAATTAAATCTAGATTAAATCTAATGGTTGGTTGGTTGGTTGTTTAACGCCGCATTCAGCAATATTCCAGCTATATGATGGCAGTCTGTAAATAAGCGAGTCTGGACCAGACAATCCAGTGATTGATATCATGAGCATCGATCCATGTAATTGGGATCGATGACATGCATCAACCGAGTCAGCGAGCCTGACCACCCGATCCCGTTAGTCACCACTTACGAAAAGCATAGTCGCCTTTTACGGCAAGCATGGGTTGCTGAAGACCTATTCTAACCCAGATCTTCACGGGTTTTAAATCTAATGGGAACCACTAAACAACCTAAAGTTCATCTACACTAAGCTGACCTTTGACGGTCTTGATGAAGTAGATGCCATGGGGGTGGAAGTAGTTGCCGTCCTCCGTACAGTAGCATAAGCGCGGCTTCCCTGCACATCCCTTCACAATCTTCATCTCGAGCCTGAACACAGACACACAGCAGCTGAAGTAGTGCCAGACACTAGGGCTGGGACGAGTCCAAATTTAATTCCCGTGTACCCACCCCCCTATTACCGTACCCTACCCGGGTACCCGCTGTATGTCCCAAGAGATGTATACAAAATGTCCGTTTCAGAATAGCTTGACCATGTTGACTGTAGTCTTGACAAAAATGTATTTAGATGAAAGAATAAAACGATCTGGTCATGCATGCACCGAAGTTGACTGAAGCTTAATCTTTACTCAAACATAGGAAAGTCAGAAGGAATGCGTTCATAGTCAGAAAGAAATGTGAACATTAGTGACTTGTAGTGTAACCATGGCGTTCCAGATAATTTTTGTTCCCGCCAAACACGTGACTAACCACGGGGCCGGGTAGTCCTGTGGGTACCCGGGTCCTACTCAGTACCCACCCGACCCGGATATCCGAGTTACCCCAGTCCTACCAGACACACTTCACTACCTGACAACCCAAACCACGGATCTGCATAGTCCGTGCAGTCAGTACTGAGTGAATATGGTTTTACACCGCCTTTTAATAGCAATATTCCAGCAATATCACAGCGACTGGTACACAAGTCGCATATTGGACGAAACAAACAACAATCTTTGCTGTCATCACTCGTCCATCATTAAATTCATTGGGGTCCCAAAGGATCTGTTAGCTACTGGTACTTCAGGGTTAGAGTGAGTGAGTGAGTTGGGTTTAATGCCGCTTTTAACATTATTCCAGTTATATCACGGCGTGCCAGCTTAATGTGGGAGGAAAGCCCGAAGTGATGCACTACCACTTCGGTGAAACCCACGAGCACGGGTATGGTGCTGACAAACCTAGAAACATAACCGGGGCGAACCGGGGTTCGAACCCACAATCATAGGTTTCTGGCATGCCCAAGGGACGCAACTCTGCACAGCGAATCGCGGCGCCTTAGACGACTGGGCCACCCGTGCCCCCCTTCAGGGTTAGATATAACAACAAATTTGCATGTAGCCAGCAGGGCTTGCTCTTTCTAAAAGTTACTGGCCCTTCTCCAAACTGGCCTACAACTGAATGGGGGAGGCCACAAAAAGGCCGAACCTGAGGTCGCATAGCCACCTAGCGGGGCCCTGAAAGTTTTACAACTACTCACCACTAAAATACCTTTTCCTGTGCTGAGGTTAAATCTTGGCTTCCAATTGCCTCATTTCGTGGTGATTTATAAGCCAATATAGATGTTGTTGTAAAAAACATTACGAAATGGCGTTAGTCATTCTAACAAGACGATCGAAATATATCTTTCTTTTGAGTTGACCATTCACACGACCTCATCCCCTAAATATTTTCAATCCAATTAAAAAATTTAAATATACACGGAGAAGGGTTGAAATTTTAACCAGCCAGATGGGTAGCCATCTATTTCACATTTCAGCAAGCCCTGTGTAAGTTTCACTGGCCACGGACCAATGGGCCAGCAGTTAAATCGACCCCTGTACTTCATTGTCCTCTAACCACCTTGGATTATTTGGACAAGACCATACATATGGAACCCTGACTGTAGAATGGCAGGCAGCCAGATCTCCTTACCTGTCAAATATGTGTTCAATGTCTTCAAGCTTGAAGACTGTGGGAACTGTAACCGGTGCTAAATCTGAACGGGTCCGCTTCCGTATTGCTTTCACAAATTTCTGTAACTTTTCAAATCTACAAAGAAAACGTTCAGCTTTCTTTAGTGTCAGTTTTATTTGAGGTTTCATCACATCCTGTGTCTTGTTGGGAATTAAACAGGCCAGCTGAAAACACCATTTGTATCATTTCTCCCATGCCTACAGTGAACAGATTGAGACAGTTGGTCTCTCTCACTAGTGTCTGTGAATTCAACTCAATAGTCTTAGCACATAGATTGCTTACAGAACGAGACACAGTTGGTCTCACTAGTGTCTGTGAATTCAACTCAATAGTCTTAGCACATAGATTGTTGACAGATTGAGACAGTTGGTCTCACTAGTGTCTGTGAATTCAACTCAATAGTCTTAGCACATAGATTGCTTACAGAACGAGACACAGTTGGTCTCACTAGTGTCTGTGAATTCAATTCCAACAGTCTTAGCACATAGATTGCTTATAGAGTGAGACACAGTTGATCTCATTAGTGTCTGTGAATTCAACTCAATAGTCTTAGCACATAGATTGCTTATAGAATGAGACACAGTTGGTCTCACTAGTGTCTGTGAATTCAACTCAACAGTCTTAGCACATAGATTGCTTATAGAGTGAGACACAGTTGGTCTCACTAGTGTCTGTGAATTCAACTCAATAGTCTTAGCACATAGATTGTTGACAGATTGAGACAGTTGGTCTCACTAGTGTCTGTGAATTCAACTCAATAGTCTTAGCACATAGATTGTTGACAGATTGAGACAGTTGGTCTCACTAGTGTCTGTGAATTCAACTCAATAGTCTTAGCACATAGATTGTTGACAGATTGAGACAGTTGGTCTCACTAGTGTCTGTGAATTCAACTCAATAGTCTTAGCACATAGATTGTTGACAGAATGAGACACAGTTGGTCTCACTAGTGTCTGTGAATTCAACTCAATAATCTTAGCACATAGATTGCTTACAGAACGAGACACAGTTGGTCTCACTAGTGTCTGTGAATTCAACTCAATAGTCTTAGCACATAGATTGCTTACAGATTGAGACAGTTGGTCTCACTAGTGTCTGTGAATTCAACTCAATAATCTTAGCACATAGATTGCTTACAGAACGAGACACAGATGGTCTCACTAGTGTCTGTGAATTCAACTCAATAGTCTTAGCACATAGATTGCTTATAGAATGAGACACAGTTGGTCTCACTAGTGTCTGTGAATTCAATTCCAATAGTCTTAGCACATAGATTGCTTATAGAGTGAGACACAGTTGGTCTCACTAGTGTCTGTGAATTCAATTGCAATAGACTTAGCACATAGATTGTTGACAGATTGAGACAGTTGGTCTCACTAGTGTCTGTGAATTCAACTCAATAGTCTTAGCACATAGATTGCTTACAGAACGAGACACAGTTGGTCTCACTAGTGTCTGTGAATTCAACTCAACAGTCTTAGCACATAGATTGCTTACAGATTGAGACAGTTGGTCTCACTAGTGTCTGTGAATTCAACTCAATAATCTTAGCACATAGATTGCTTACAGAACGAGACACAGATGGTCTCACTAGTGTCTGTGAATTCAACTCAATAGTCTTAGCACATAGATTGCTTATAGAATGAGACACAGTTGGTCTCACTAGTGTCTGTGAATTCAATTCCAATAGTCTTAGCACATAGATTGCTTATAGAGTGAGACACAGTTGGTCTCACTAGTGTCTGTGAATTCAATTGCAATAGACTTAGCACATAGATTGTTGACAGATTGAGACAGTTGGTCTCACTAGTGTCTGTGAATTCAACTCAATAGTCTTAGCACATAGATTGCTTACAGAACGAGACACAGTTGGTCTCACTAGTGTCTGTGAATTCAACTCAACAGTCTTAGCACATAGATTGCTCACAGAATGAGACACAGTTGGTCTCACTAGTGTCTGTGAATTCAACTCAATAGTCTTAGCACATAGACTGCTTACAGAACGAGACACAGTTGATAGTAAAGTCACAGTTGGGACCAAGTCCAAGTTTTGAGCTTGCGTTTTTGTTTTTTTTATCTTGAATTCAACATATACAGACAAATCTATATGTACTTATGTAGCAAGACCGGAGAATAGGGACATTGGTAAATTTGAGATAACAGGGTTCGAGATTAGGGGGTTTGAATGTAGCTTGAATAAACTTGTTGAACATGCATCAGAACAACAATGAGTGTTTATCATAGGCACAACTTACCTCTCCTTGTAGTGTTTGTTTCGGACATCGATCCCACACAAAAACAGGGCATCTATAGCACGTATTGTCCGTTGACGCCTCTGGCCACGGCCCTAAAATTAACAGTAATAAGAATTGAGAATACAAAGTATTCATCAGGATATTCACCACTCTTTGGTTAACTGTATATGACTATGCTTGCCGTAAAAGGCGACTATGCTTGTTGTAAGAGGCGACTAACGGGTTGTCAGGCTCGCTGACTTGGTTGATGCATGTCATGTATCCCAATTGCGTGAATCGATGCTCATGATGTCAATCACTGGATTGTCTGGCCCAGACTCGATTTTTTACAGACTGCCGTCATATAGCTGGAATATTGCTGAGTGCGCCGTTAAACATCAAACAAACAAACAAACTTTAGTTATTGTTTTGAAGAATAAAAAATTGAGCTACCTCCCCCTTGAGTTCTTGAACATCCTCGACCTCCAACAAGGTATCCGGGGGCAACTCCAGCCTCAGGTTCTCCTCCAGTTTGGTCCAGCGACACTTCCCCCTCCCGTCCCACTTGAATACATGGGCTTTCTAAACATGAAGAGTATTTCTTGAAGCACATATCACGGCCTGGTCATGATAAGTTTAGATTCAGTTGGGATTTTAATGAATTCATACTTATTAGGGCTGGGACGAGTCCAAAGGAATGGGTGCATAGTCAGAAAGAAATACGAACATTAGTGACTTGTAGTGTAACCATAGAGTTCTAGATCATTTTTGTCATTAAACAATATATCACGTGACGGGTCTGGGTAGTCCTATGGGTAACCAGGTCCTACTCAGTACCCACCCGACCTGAGTACCCGAGGTACCCATCCCAGCCCTAATACTTATGGATTTTTTCTTGCAAATATTAAATTGATATATTACTATTTAATGTGCAATAAACATTGCAAGATTCCAGCGACCTGCAATAATCAAGTCAAACCAATCACATAAAGCATGAGGTTGGTTGGTTGGTTTGTAGTTAAACGCCGCACTCAGCAATATTCCAGCTATATGACAGTGGTCTGTAAATAATCAAGTCTGGACCAGACAATCCAGTGATTGATATCATGAGCATCGATCCACGCAATTGGGATCGATGGCATGCATCAACCAAGTCAGCTAGCCTGACCACCTGATCACATGGTGTGCCATCATCCACATGGAGCCTGACAATCCCATCCATTTCAGTCACCTTCTACAACAACTGCAACCCATGACTCCAATGTTTCTGTTTCATTGGGTCATATTAAAATCTCATCTGATTTGTTTTTGATAGCAATTCAAAATAACTATTGCAAAAACAGTGAGTGAGTTGGGTTAAACGCCGCTTTTAACAGTATTCCAGTTATATTACGGCCTGTCGGCTTAATGTGGGAGGAAAGCCCAAAGTGATGCAGTTCTAAGAGGATTACCACTTCGGTGAAACCCACGAGCACGGATTTGGTGCTGACAAACCTAGAAACATAATTGGGGCAAACCGGGATTCGAACCCACAATCATAGGTTTCTGGCGTGCCCAAGGGACGCAACTCTGCACAGCGAATCACGGCGCCTTAGGCGACTTGGCCACCCATGCCCCCTGCAAAAAAAGAGACCGGTGAAGGTCTTCAGCAACCCGTGCTTGTCATAAAAGGCGACTATGCTTGTCATAAGAGGCGACTAATGGGATCGGGTGGTCAGGCTCGTTGACTTGGTTGTACATGTCACCAATCCCAATTGCATGGATCGATGCTCGTGATGTCAATCACTGGATTGTCTGGTCCAGACAGGTTATTTACAGACCGCCATCATATAGCTGGAATATTGCTGAGTGCGGTGTTTAACAACAACAACAACAACAAAAAATAATTACAAAGCAAAAAATGATTTGTAAACAGAATTATCCAAGTAGGATCTGACATACCCCGAGCCCGAGAATATAGAAGCGATGTCCTTCTCCCATGACAGCACACATGTAGTCGTAGACACTCTTGACGTGTGACAGAGTTTCATGTGTCAGGAGAGTTGGAGCATGCTCGTAGTAGTCTTTACTTTCATCCTGAGAACAAAGCAAGATTTTGTGAAAAGTGGGTAGGTGAGTGAGTTGGTTTTAACGCCGCTTTTAACAGTATTCAAGTCATATCACGGCATGTCAGCTTAATGTGTGAGGAAAGCCCGAAGTGATGCAGGTCTCAGACGTTTACCACTTGGGTGAAACCCATGAGCCTAGGAACATAATCGGGGCGAACCGGGATTCAAACCCACAATTATAAGTTTCTGGTGTGACCAAGGGACGCAACTCTGCACAGCTAATTGTGTTGCCTTTGACGACTGGACCAACTGTGCCCCCGATTTGTGAACAACCAAAGAACTACAAGGAATTGTGGGATATTGGTCCTGAGTGAAGGAATGCCCCGAACCTTTGGCAAGGGAATTACATAACACATTCACACGGGTCAGATAATTTGTGATTCTGGGTTTCAAGAAGGTCATTCTATAACTTACCCATTGTCAACTTAATAAAGAGGAAAACATACAAAATATAAACACTACAAAGAAACCCACGTCAACCTGTAGATTGATGTTGTAATGTTATCAATTTGTGAAATCATGAGCAATCGAGGACATCATTATCCTCAATCTCATTGAAATCAGATCTCAGTGCTTGCTTCCGCTGAACAAAGATCTGAGGACATCCCATTACAGGTCACATCAGAACGACCTCTCGCAAACATTGACCAACCAATGAAATGACGAATAAGAAATTGACATCGGCCAATCAGAAAGCAATTCTCAGGAACTATAAGGCACTAGTTTCAAACTGGCGGCTTCCATTCGAGACTATGCTTTGAAATATATTTGACAAAGTTCTCCCTTCAATTATCAGAATTCATCAGAACATATCATTTGCGTGTGCATGTGTGTGTGTGCACGCTCGTACGTACATATGTATGTACGAGTCTGTAACATTCTAGGTCACTGTCAGTATTTCATGGTCTGGCATACACTGTGTTTCACACATCAACTGTTAATACACAGGGCTGCTGTGCGTTATAGTCACTAGTTTCAACCAAAAACTCCAGTCAAGCCTGGTTCCAGCGAGAGGAAAGCTAGTGAGTCCTCACATAACATACACACCAAGATTTCTGAAAAACTATTCCAGTCAAAGTTGGTATGAGATTATTAAACAGTGCTACATAACTGGATATTACCTTTACAGATAATCGGTGCATGAATAAAAAATCTGTCTATTCAGCTATCACTATATTTCATCAACAACCAGACCTGTTCGTCAGTGGTGGAACGAGCATTCATTGTAACAGCCATCTGCATAATGCAAACCCTGCGTCACAGGGACATATGACACAGTTGAACCAATCAACTCAACTCGAAAGGTTGCACGGGAATCATGCTCGTTGAGACGCCCAACGCTAACACCGTATTCGTGCGTGCGTGATTCCCGTGCAACCTTTCAGTCCGATAGTTTTTCAGATATTGTTGTAACCGTCGGTACCTTAAATTACCTTCCAGACTATACACCATGTGCCTTACATCAATCTTACGGCAATGGCATACGGTTTATGCACAGGGTCAGGATCACGTGATGCCCGTGACTTGTAAAAGGCTTTCCTGATTAGCATCCTATAAAAAAACACATACTGGCCATATGTAAGTACAGGTGATGAAGGGACGGAGTGTATACACAGCCGTGAGCTGTAACTGTTTCCCCGACACTATAGAGGTGACTACTTACACCGATCAGCTCAGCAAACTTCCGGGATGGATCAGCCCGAGGAGGAGCCTTCCTTACTTCATCAGGAACCTGCCAACAGGAGGTCAACATGAAGGGTACTCCATACTCCAAGTTTACCACAGCTACACATGTCTAATATACAGCTACACATGTCTAATATACAGCTACACATGTCTAATATACAGCTACACATGTCTAATATACAGGTACACATGTCTAATATACAGCTACTCATGTCTAATATACAGCTACACATGTCTAATATACAGCTACACATGTCTAATATAAAGCTACACATGTCTAATATACAGCTACACATGTCTAATATACAGCTACACATGTCTAATATACAGCTACACATGTCTAATATACAGGTACACATGTCTAATATACAGCTACTCATGTCTAATATACAGCTACACATGTCTAATATACAGCTACACATGTCTAATATACAGCTACACATGTCTAATATACAGGTACACATGTCTAATATACAGCTACACATGTCTTAATATACAGCTACACATGTCAAATATACAGCTACACATGCCTAATATATAGCTACACATGTCTAATATAAAGCTACACATGTCAAATATACAGCTACACATGTCTAATATAAAGCTACACATGTCAAATATACAGCTACACATGCCTAATATACAGCTACACATGTCTAATATACAGGTACACATGCCTAATATACAGCTACACATGTCTAATATAAAGCTACACATGTCAAATATACAGCTACACATGCCTAATATACAGCTACACATGTCTAATATACAGGTACACATGTCTAATATACAGCTACACATGTCTAATATAAAGCTACACATGTCTAATATACAGCTACACATGTCTAATATACAGGTACACTTGTCTAATATACAGCTACACATGTCAAATATACAGCTACACATGTCTAATATACAGGTACACATGTCTAATATACAGCTACTCATGTCTAATATACAGCTACACATGTCTAATATACAGCTACACATGTCTAATATACAGGTACACATGTCTAATATAAAGGTACATATGTCTAATATACAGCTACACATGTCTTAATATACAGCTACACATGTCAAATATACAGCTACACATGCCTAATATACAGCTACACATGTCTAATATACAGGTACACATGTCTAATATACAGGTACACATGCCTAATATAAAGCTACACATGTCTAATATACAGCTACATATGTCTAATATACAGGTACACATGTCTAATATACAGCTACACATGTCTAATATACAGCTACACATGCCTAATATAAAGCTACACATGTCTAATATACAGCTACACATGTCTAATATACAGCTACACATGTCTAATATACAGCTACACATGTCTAATATACAGCTACACATGTCTAATATACAACTACACATGCCTAATATACAGCTACACAAGTCTAATATACAGCTACACATGTCTAATATTCAGCTACACTTGACTAATATACAGGTACACATGTCTAATATACAGCTACACAAGTCTAATATACAGTTACACATGTCTAATATTCAGCTACACTTGACTAATATACAGGTACACATGTCTAATATACAGCTACATATGTCTAATGTACAGCTACACATGTCTAATATACAGGTACACTTGACTAATATACAGGTACACATGTCTAATATACAGGTACACATGTCTAATATACAGGTACACTTGTCTAATATACAGCTACACATGTCTAATATACAGCTACACATGTCTAATATACAGCTACACATGTCTAATATACAGCTACTCATGTCTAATATACAGCTACACATGTCTAATATAAAGCTACACATGTCTAATATAAAGCTACACATGTCTAATATACAGCTACACTTGACTAATATACAGCTACACTTGTCTAATATTTGTCTAATATAAAGCTACACATGTCTAATATAATACTACACATGTCTAATATACAGCTACACTTGACTAATATACAGCTACACATGTCTAATATACAGCTACACATGTCTAATATAAAGCTACACATGTCTAATATAAAGCTACACTTGACTAATATACAGCTACACTTGTCTAATATTTGTCTAATATAAAGCTACACATGTCTAATATAAAGCTACACTTGACTAATATACAGCTACACATGTCTAATATACAGCTACACATGTCTAATATACAGATACACATGTCTAATATACAGCATATTTGTGTGACTAGCAACTCAAGGTATCTCTCAGATCAGGACATAAAAGTTAGGGGAAGCCAGTTTAACTGACCGCTACCAGCACACAAGTGACCCCTCACCTGCCACCGTCTGAGACAGTCAGCTCGGACATCAGCTTGTCGTTCCTCATACAGATCCCTGCAACACACAACACATGCTCACAGAGCTCCAGATAAGCTTTTGGTGTTGTGGGTATTTTACCCATGCATTTTAAAACAATTGGGTATCAGTAATTCTATCTGCGTATTCAAATTTCTGTTACCCACTAGTTTTTACACAAGTGGGTATTTAGTTAAATATTTAAAAACACTATTCATCTAGTCCCTGCAAACTGGTGTCGTGTGGGTTCAAGAGCTTTATAGGACTCAAAAATACGATACTTCCACAAGAAAGTGTGATGGCAAATGATCACGATGTAACTGTCATCGTGGAGTTTGGCAAGGTTGACGGAATGCCCGTTTATAATTTCAAAATATGTTGCTGATTTGCTAATCGAATACGCAGGGTTACTTCACAATATTTTGATGATACGCACAAGTTTTATATTTGTAGCATTCTGTAATGTTCGTTGCGTATTTGATACTCTTGGATTTTATTTTACTGCGTATTTCTGCATTTCTGTTGCGTATTTTACGCAGATACACAGCTTATCTGGAGCTCTGTGCTCAGCCACACTTTCTTCATTTAATTGTACACTGATTTTCCAATATTTTTATTATTTAGCTTACAAAATCGACTGACTTAAAAACCCTGAAACATGTTAAATTAAACAAAATATACTTTTGACAAAAACTTATCTTTTACTAATTTGTTTCACAGATGTTTACAGAGAAGAAAGCTGCATTTTGAGATAATTTAAGAGTTTTACAGTACGTTATGAGCAGAAATGTCTGATGAGATTTTTCAATAAAACTGCTGTGGTGGCCGTAACAACGGCCATAAAGATGGAAACTGTTCAAACAGGATATAGTGAGTGACTGAGTGAGTGAGTTTGGTTTTACGCCGCTTTGCTTTTAGCAATATTCCAGCAATATCACGGCGGGGGACACCAGAAATGGGCTTCACACATTGTACCCATGTCGGGAATCGAAACGCGGGTCTTCGACGCGACTAGCGAACGCTTTAACCACTGGGCTACCCGAAAGCCCCTAAACAGGATATAAGCTCACCAGACTGAAAGTAAACATTCCATCACCTGCAATGAACTTCTGAGAAATGTTTTCGTAATTGATAAAGAAACAGTCCTCTCCTAAGGTAGGTTTATCTCTGTTGATACCGACGAACCAGTGAGTAAAAACATGAGGACCGATCAACACCATTAGAGCACCATGACACACAGTGAATAATTATTAATCATAATAATTTATAGGATATATTTACTAGTATACTCAACCCGTTAAGATCCTGGTTAGAATATGCCTTTGGCAACCCATGCTTGCCGTAAAAGACAACTGCTTGTCATAAGAGGCGACTAACAGGATCGGGTGGTCAGGCTTGCTGACTTGGTTGATGCATGTCATCGATCCCAATTGTATAGCATGCTCATGATGTCAATCACTGGATTGTCTGGTTCAGGATCTATTATTTACAGACCGCTGTCATACAGCTGGAATATTGCTGAGTGTGATGTAAACAACAAAAAACAAACTAATATACTCACACATTTTGAGCAAACACTTGGATTTTCTTGAGACCGATTATTTGGTTCCGTCCTAATCTGTTGTTAACAAGAAGAATATATTATCTGTACATGTTTAAACAAAAACTTTATGATAATGTAGACTACAAGGGGTACTTTGAAGTTTTTCAAAGTATAAGGACCAAACTATTGTCTCAGTTGCCATGCAACGCTCCATCAACAACATACACCTTCAAAAACATAAGTGAATGAGTTGGGTTTAACGCCGCTTTTAACAGTATTCCAGTTATATCACGGCGTGTCAGCTTAATATGGGAGGGAAGCCCAAAGTGATGCAGGTCTCAGACGTTTACCACTTCGGTGAAACCCACAAGCACGGGTATGGTGCTGACAAACCTAGAAACATAATTGGGGAGAACCGGAATTCGAACCCACAATCATAGGTTTCTAGCGTGCCCAAGGGACGCAACTCTGCACAGCGAATCGGGCGCCTTAGACGACTGGGCCACCCCTGCCCCCTCAAAAACATAATGTACCCTTGATGACAAAATTGGAAAATTATGACACTAAAACATCCTTCAAATATCTGTACAATTCAGGATATGCATGGAATTGTCTGTATGGTCTGAGACCTTATCGTAGCATGATTCACCTAGAACCTCCTATGAAGACTGGTTCGTGGCCTCTCTGTTTTAGGCAGAGGAGAGCCATTATCTAAACAGTCTCAATGTCAAATGTCTTACAGATCATTCGATTTCAAGATGTAGTTGAAGAATTCCTCATTTCCGGTAAGCGTTTCAAGGGGGACAATTTCATTGACGTCCTGTTTGGATGTGGCCCCCATGTAGACACACAGATCCTGGTTGATGTTTCTCATGTACTGCAGGATTGGCTCAATGTCGCCCTTCTTCCACTTGCACACAATATACCTGAAATACAACCACCTCACCATTACGTTTGTTGTTCCAGCAAACTCGCACGAGTCATTCTCACTAAAATCAGACTTTAGTTCTCGCTACCGCTAAACAAAGATCTGAAGACATCCCATTAGTGGTCACATCAGTTCGCGCAAGGTCGGTCTGACATGACCCGTAATGGGATGTCCTCAGATCTTTGTCCAGCAGTAGCAAGCACTGAGATCTGATTTCAATGAGATTGTTGCACGAGTTTAAGTCTATCTCTCATTTCTGGGAGTAATTTGATTGGACAGGCTATTTGAATCAGGCTACCGCTAAACAAAGATCTGAAGACATCCCATTAGGGGTCATGTCAGAACGACCTTTCATCCGACCAATCAGAGCATCGCTTACCAGATTATGAAAGTGACAGTCGGAATGTGATTTCTAATCATGCAACCTCGAAAACTTATAGTTACGGGTTTAACGACTGTATCCATACAATCTAGCCCATCTATTAGCCATTCCAGAATGTTCTTTTGTTCGGGTTTCAAATTTGTAATCGAGAATTTGTCAAAATATGTTTCAAAGCGTAGTCGCCAATTTGAAATTAGTACTGTAAAGCACGAGAAAGCTGCCTTCTGATTGGTCATTCCATTGGTCGGTTCAAGTTCGGTCTGATGTGACCCGTAATTGGATGTCCTCAGATCTTTGTTTAGCGGTAGCAAGAACTAAGATCTGATTTTAATGAGATTGTCTCACAAGTTTAAGTCTATCTCTCGTTTCTGGGAGTAATTATATTAGACAGGCTATCTGAATCAGGCTCAAAAAGAAAATATGGTAGGGAATTGGTCCAGGATTTGATCATATAAGAATCAGGGCTTGTAAAATCAACTCGTTCGCTTGTATTGACGGAAGGCAGCAAGTGCGGGCGAGAAAGAAGCGAAGAAACACTCGTCCTACCGAGCGAGTACATATATTTCAATCATATCAATTCATCACTAATCATTTACAATGACATACGCAGGATAATTTTGGATCTAAAAAACATTTTAATTTCTCATACATTCATAGTAATAACGAAATATGTCACTTATGCCCCAAACAGACGGCTTTCTTGGCAACTGTCTGTTGGAGAAAGAAACAAAAAGTGCGTTTGCGCAGCAAGTCTCAAAACTAATATTAAGGTGAGGCAATTATATTTATTATTTTTGTTGTAAGTGACCTGTTACTGATTATTCTCAAAAGTCAAAAGAAAAGTGAATAATTTTGTTGGGGTAATGGCTGTGGTTGGAAATGGTGGGGTTGATGAGACAAAAACGTGATTTGATTACCAAAACAGGCCAAAACAGGAATCCATTTGAAAGAAACAGAAGGACTGTAAAAAACGAAGAACAGAAAACTGTATAAAATGTAGCAGGGCAAGTGAAAATATTGCAGGACAAATTCAAAATAATATCTATCTGCCCTGCAGGATAAGTTAGGTTAAAAAATGTTTTTCGAGCCATGAAGATATGAGGTAAAACACAAGATAAAAGACAAAGTATATATATTCAGCAAGATTCCAGGTCTGGATATAACCAAGTCTGGACCACACAAACAAGGGTTTAACACGATCGGTCAAATATCTCACAGCCTGACCACCTGATCCCATTGTAGTCAGTTCTTCTGATCAGCATGAGGTACTGGGGACCGATCCTGAACAGGAATCCCCTTCAGCTAACACTTATACAGGAGTACAAGCCTAGATGTATGGCTTGATATTCATATAGAGTCTGTCTGATGTCCCTCAGCTGAAGGGAGGCCAATATATGATGGTACTCAGGTGACACATTTTGGAGGTTATAGATTTGACTGACAGAAGCCAAAACGCACAACCAGTACTGTCGGAATTTATTTTTATTTTGTCAACCCCTCTATGTCTGACATTGTTTGATGGATTAGAAAACTAAAGAAATGCGACCAAAATACAAAATGTAACTAATGAGTTTACAAATAATGATTGATCAAATGCATTGCAAGTCACTGGCCTCTGCAAACTCCTTTTGCAAAGGTGAGGTGAAATGGGGTTTAATGTTGCTTCAAAGTTAATTGCACTTATATAGTGATGTGTGTGTGTGTGTGTGTGTGTGTGTGTGTGTGTGTGTGTGTGTGTGTGTGTGTGTGTGTGTGTGTGTGTGCTCGCTTTTTTGTTGTTTAACGCCGCACTCAGCAATATTCCAGCTATATGACGGTGGTCTCTAAATAATCAAGTCTGGATCAGACAATCCAGTGATTGACATCACGAGCATTGATCCACGCAATTGGGATACATCACATGCATCGACCAAGTCAGCTAACCTGATCACCCGATCCCGTTTGTCGCCTCTTACAACAAGCATAGGTTGGTGAAGGGCAATTCACCAGTTCACTGGTCCCGTGCGTGCGTGCGTGCGTGCTTGTACTAATCAGAACTAATGTTGATTTTATTGTGCTAAGCCCACTGAGATACGCTGTCACAGTTTAACATGAATAGCTATTGGTTTAGACCCTTAATGCCTAGCGCCAGGCAGGGTAACAACAAGAGCCACCCATTGGGATCGGGTGGTCAGGCTCACTGACTTGGTTGATGCATGTCATCGTATCCCAATTGCGTGGATTGATGCTCATGTCAATCACTGGATTGTCTGGTCCAGACTTGATTATTTACAGACCGCTGTCATATAGCTGGAATATTGCTCTGTGCAGCGTTAAACAACAAACAAACAAACAAACAAACAAACAAACATAGATGAATAATCATGAGGTCAGGTTATCCATGTTTTTTGTGTCCTCTCACAGGACATTGTTCTTGATCACGCACGACCTCATAGTATGGAATTAAGACAAATTTGTTCGACTCCATCTTATAACCCACCCTTTGACAACAGAGAGTGAATCCTACCTTGCCTCGGACATTTTAAGTTCTTCAAGACTGTCCACACATACATGTTTTGACGCAAGGTGTAACAGCTCGGCATCCCTTTCAGTGCCTCAAGCACAATATTCTCTTCAAACTAAAAAAACCCACCTCTACACAAAGGCGTTTAAAAAAAGAATGAGTAAGCTTGGGATGTCATGTGATCAATTTTTGTGACATGTAACAAGCCTGATAACATCAGTACACCATGTCTCAGTATAGTGAGTGAGTTTGGTTTTACGCCGCCTTTAGCAATATTCCAGCAATATCATGGCGGGGGACACCAGAAATGGGCTTCACACATTGTACCCATGTCAGGAATCGAACCCGGATCTTCGGCGTGACGAGCGAACGCTTTAACCACTAGGCTACCCGACCGCACCATGTCTCAGTATAAACATGAATGTCGTTCTACCTTTCTGAGTTTGCAGGGCGACTTGTGACTGGCTTGATGATGGCAATCTTCTGGAAGGCTTGGTACATCAGATACACCAGGCCCACGCTGAACGGTGTGAACAGATCGAACAACTTGCACACAAAGTGGCCACCTGGAGACACAACAACACACATGTACAGTTGACAAAGAAGTCAAGTGAAAAGATAACCATTTATTAATGCCCCATTTCACTACGACCACGAATATCCCGAATCACCCCGAATAGGTAATTTGTTATGTTCGTAGATAAATCTCAGTCATTTCTTGAAGGACCCGTGAAGATTCCGGGGTAGAATAGGTCTCCAGCAACCCATGCTTGCCGTAAAAGGCGACTATGATTGTCGTAAAAGGCGACTAACGGGATCCGTTGGTCAGGCTCGCTGACTTGGTTGATACATGTCATCGACTCCAATTGCTTAGATCGATGCTCATGATGTCAATCACTGGATTGTCTGGTCCAGACTCGATTATTTTACAGACCGCCGTCATAAAGCTGGAATATTGCTGAGTGCGGCGTTAAACAACAAACAAACAAACAAACAAACAAAACATTTCTTGAAGTTCTTAAATGAATCTTATTTGATTCCCAAACATTCGTACAGTTCGTGGGAGTTCGTCGAATTGGCGAGAAAGTTTTTATTTGTCAAAAACTTTTGTGGAAGGGTCCCCGAATTGCAATTTCATGGCTGTAGCGTAATCCATTCGTAATTAATTCTCATGTTCCATAACAGCTTCGTAATCGGTTTCTTTTGCATTCTTGGCTATTCTTTGCGATTCGTGGCTCCCAAAATTTCTTGTCCTCAACCCGGAAACAGCCACGAATGTCCCCAGTCAACTACGAATCATGTAAGAATTAGGTAAGAACAACGTTCGGCATATTTGTAACTTAGTCGTAGGTGATTCTTACAATTCGTGCATGATCCGTACATGAATCTTGTAATTCGTACATGTTTCTTAACCCATTCCTGGCATTCTTCACATTTTTCAACCCGATTAGCCACGAAAGTTTGCATTACTGGCCGAATCATCACGAATTTCGAAAGTTTTCAATTCAGGGTGATTCGGGATATCCGTGGTCGTAGTGACAGGAGGGCATAACTGTGATGACAATTACACGTGATAAGAGAAGCTTTCGACCTGATCATCTCAAAACTAAATCAATGTGTTTTTTCCAGCTTTCTCAATATCTTGACAATAACCCAAAGAAACATGGCCAAGTATTTGTGAGAGGCAGGTATGTCGGAGGTGAGAGGCAGGAATGTCGGAGGTGAGAGGCAGCAATGGTCACCTTCACGCAGGATGGACAGTGCAACCAGGAACTGACACAGATACAGCTGCTTGGATAAAATCTCCTGGATGTTTTCTTGTCCCTCCACTGAGAAACCCTGCAATTACATAAACAAGTCACTCATCTTTGTCCAAAATTACCTATACAGTGCTCCCTCGTTATTGCGCCCTTCAATATAGCGCTAACTCGGTTATAGCGCGCGGTAAGGCATGGCTCCCAAAATTTCAACATTTTCAATAAAGTCAAGTTTTCCAATGACACGATGTTTTCCCCCATCTCAGAAAACATTATCAGTTGATCACTGTAACACCGCAAATACCAGTCAACAAATCCGAACTGAAGTACGCAATTTAATCCGATTATTATAATATCTGGTAATGAATACAAATGTTCATTGTTTATCTGGACTAATGTTTGCAATATATTTTTTTAAATTATACATGTACACGTAAAACAACACACCTGACCGAGCAGCGGTATTGTTAAAAAATGATTAGGCCTTAATAACAATAAATCCAACTATGAAATGAAGTTACTTTTTACTAAGTTTTCACTATAAATCAAGACAAGCTAAATTAACATGAGGACAAAGTCAACGATATCCAATATGTCAACTAGTTACATATGTATTATGTTTTTTCAAACAGTTCACCGCAAGACCAATCTGTGTGCCAAGTTTGGTTTGTTTTTTTCAAGATCTGCTCCGTAAACGAGCAATACCGCCATTTCCTGACATTTGTCGAAAATCCCGAACTATCCAAAGGCATCATTTCACTACTAGACATATCAATGTGCCATGTCAGGTGAAGAAATACTCTACAGTTTTCAAGATCTGCCCTGATCTGGGGATAAAACAACAGATACAACAGGATTAAAACCAAAACAATTCAAAGTTCTTACACCATCAGCCATGACAAAATGGACGCCTTTCCCGTCTGTGTTTTCCAGGACAAACTTGGTGAATGCTTCCTGATTGGCTGGTCTAAATATGTCCCCATCTCCATCCAAGCCACCTTCACCTGCAGACAGAGATTGATGAGGGTAGTCTCACTCCCAGATTCAGAGCTCCAGATAACTTTTTGAGCAATTGAGTTTTTACTCGAAGGTTTCTATTTTAATTGGGTTATTACATTTTTCATTGGGTAACCAATATTTTTTCACTCATCTAGTCATCACTCTATAAGGTTTTTCCCAAAATGTGTAAGCATTTTGAGATTTAAAAACAATAAAAAATTATCTTTTAGATGTATATAATGGTTCTAAATATAGGCTTGACTTGGAAAGAAAATTAGCTTGTAATTGTGTTTTGGAAATTAGCGCCGTTGTGCGCATGCTGAAAAAGCTTCATTGGGTATTTATGCATGATGTTTTCAAACAATTGAGTTTTCCATATAATGCACGCGTTTCTGTACGCAAGTTAACTGAAAGTAATTGGGTTTTGAATAATATTATGCAAATAAGCAGCTTATCTGTAGCTCTGCAGATTATACTCCCTAAAGCATAAGAAGGAACAATTTCTACATCAAAAATAAACATCAAACTTAGATAGTTAGACAAACTTAACATACTAAAAGGCAGTGGTCAATAATAGTCATGAAAGTTTAGGGATCTTTGTCATAACCCTCATGTTAAAAGTTAGGGTGTCCCTATATTCTGCTACTACAGCCCTCAAGGAAACCCCTGTATGACAAGCACTGAAAAGGACTCTTCCTTCTTGTTAAGCAACAATTGGGCTGTTGTGTGTGTGTGCTTGTTGTTTAATGGTGCTCTCAGCAATACCCCAGCTTTATGACGATGTTCTGTATACATAATCAAACTGGACCAGACATTCCAGTGATTGATAATATGAGCAACGATTCACACAATTGGGATCGATGATAAGCATCAATTAAGTCAGCAAGCCTGCCCACCCAATCCCGTTAGTCGCCTCTTACGACAAGGATAGTCGCCTTTTGCGGCAAGCATGGGTTGCTGAAGACCTTTTCTAACCCAGATCTTCATGGGTCTCATTTTTTGTACCAGTTACTTTGATTGTGGACACGCATTTCACCAAGTCACCAAACCTGATCACCCGATGCATTTTGTCGCCTCCTACAACAACCATAATCCTGAATCCCCATGAGTCATTCGTAGGGCTCAACATTTGACACAAGGTCACGGTTAACTTTTTCACGGCAAAAAAGAATTGTTTTGTGCATGTCGTGAGTAAGACTAAGATAAGATATTAGACATCTTACCATAATGAGGCTCGAACATTTCACTTGGTCCAGCAAAGAAATCTTCCACTTTGAAGTCATTGCCGCCTCGTAGCGTGAAACCGAAGCCCTTCGTATCACCCTTCTTCCTCCACAGAACGTACTCACTGAACCCACCCGGGCCGGCACACACGTCCGCGAAGTACAGCAGTTCGTTAGGGCCAACAGTTTTGTGCTACATAGAAAGGTAGCAAACAAACTGTCAAAATGTCACGAAACATTAACCAATCTCATTAAAATAAGATCTTTACATCCCATACGATACCCTGATAAACCTTCTGTGTGAGGCCAACTCAGCATGGTCAGGTGAAATTTCAAATCGGCCATCAAGAGGCCTCTAGATTCTTGGTACAAGCAAGTGAAGCACTCTGATTTTTGTATCAAAAATAAAAGTTAATGGGCAGTTCCGAATGGAAAAAACAAAAACTTAGCTCCATGGCTTTATCACCCAAAGTGTGCACTACTGTGGGTTTTCTTTTGTTCAGATAGAAACTGCAACCTTAACAGTTCATGGTGACAAAATTAACAAGAGTCATCGGAAGATGACATCCCCCTGGTCCCAAATTTTCAGCATTTTCAGATGTTTATCCTATAAAGTACTTCCTGACAACTGTCAATATGAAACAAGAAATCACACAACCTGATCAAAGAATATTTATTTCATTTGAAACACATTTTCAAAGTCTTGATAAAGATATCTTAAGGCTTTCAAGTTCTGCTCTCAATAAAACAGCAAGACCATTTCAGACAAAGTCCAGTTTGTCTCCATTGAAAAAGGGGGAAAATATTTTTTAAAAATGTCAAAATAAAGACACTACTTCAGGACATGATTGATAAACCTACCATGTTTTGATAAAGAAAATTTCATGATTTTTTTTAGCTCTGCTCTGAAACCAACATCCACCCCATCTCGAGACCAAGCAGAAATTTTTTCCATGGAAATCAAAAAAAAGAAAAATACCAGAATATTAAAATAGCAAAAGGCATCACTTCAGGATCTGTTTCATATATCTGCCAGGTTTTGTTGAAAAACACTGGACGGTTTTCGTGTTGTGTTCTGGAAATTAAATGATTGCGGATGGACGAACAGACAGACGAGGCGTCGACTATATCCCCCTGCATTTTATTTTCCCACTAGTCCTTATGATGACCCTAAAAATAGCAAACATCTACTAGTCCTTGTGATACATAACTAAACGGAAATCTGACAAGGACTACAGGACGAGTGCTAATTTCTACCCCTGGCTGAAGAATACTGAGTTAAGGGGTGAGTGTTTTCTTCTGAGCCTTAGAAGCGAGACTACTTACACCTTCAGGAGATTTAGGTGTTGTGAACATGAAGTCCAACAGAGCATCCATGTTAGCCATCTTCATTGCAGCTCTGCAAAGGGAAATCACATGACAAATTACTTCAGTTGTTAATGTCCCTTTCCTCAATCAAATATTGCTAAAGACTTGAAATAATTGAGTGACACTCACTCTTTTCAGACACATCTTAGTCTAGGTGTAGCTGGTTTGAAGCATGACATGCCATTTGGTTGAGTCAGTAGAGATATAGGGCACTATCATAGGACCAGGGCACATCTAAGGTACATAACTCTGCATAGTGCACTCTGGTGCCTTAACCACAAATGAGTGAGTGAGTGAGTTGGGTTTTACGCCGCTTTTAACAGTATTCCAGTTATATCGCAGCGTGACAGCTTAATGTGGGAGGAAAGCCCGAAGTGATGCAGGTCTCAGACATTTACCACTTCGGTGAAACCCACGAGCACGGGTGTGGTGCTGACAAACCTAGAAACATAATCGGGGTGAACCAGGATTCGAACCCACAATCATAGGTTTCTGGCATGCCCAAGGGACGCAACTCTGCACAGCGAACCGTGGCGCCTTAGACGACTGGGCCACCCATGCCCCCTAACCACAAATGAACCCCCATTGAAATACATAGAAGCGAGGATAACAGTGAGATATTAAGAATAAACAGTGAGATAGTCACGACTTGCTTTTTCATGACCTGCTTTTCAGATACTTATAAAACTAAACTAGACAGTAATAATATCTAAGAATGTACGTATATGTGATAAATTCCACACAATAATATGGTTCCCTCCATCTGTGATGATGAGTTTGGCTCTAGTGATACATTTTGATTTGTTTGTTTGTTGTTTAAAGCCGCACTCAGCAATATTCCAGCTATATGACGGCAGTTGGTAAATAATCAAGTCTGGACCAGACAATCCAGTGCTTCATAACATGAGCATCGATCCACGCAATTGGGATACAATGACATGCGTCAACCAAGACAGCGAGCTTGACCACCCGAGCCCGTTAGTCGCCTCTTACGACAAGCATTGGCATCTCTTACAGCAAGCATGGGTTGCTGAAGACCTAGTCTACCCCGGATCTTCACAAGCCGATACATTTTGACCAAAGGATCCTCATTCATATCAGTCTGTACATATCAGTGTTCCCGTTTATCGGTAATTACCAGTTTTTTACTTGTAAAATTAGGCGTGGACCGGTAATTCATGTGACTGCCAGTCCTTGTGGACCGGCAAAAAAAGTACCTTATAAATCTTTGTTGTTGAACAAAACATCAGTGATATTCACATAAGTACATAGTCAGCTTGTCTGTTACCATCAGGGATTCCCCTTGTCTATTTCTAGGTTAAATATCCATTTGTAGCGACTTTGTCTTGAAATATTTACAAAAAGAAGAAGAAGAAATTGTGACTGAAGTTTGTGTGAATGTCGTATAGATCTTACTAAGTTATTTCAAAGATGACATCTTTGCACTGAACATGATGTTGAAAGAATAAAAACCAAATAATTTTCATACGTTTTTTTATTTGTTGAAAGTTGAGACTGACAAAAAATAAGGGGGGACTGGTAATTTTTAGAGTTGCCAGTCCTCAGTTTCAAAAGCCAGCGAGAACACTGCATATACACACCATATTGAGTTCATGTAGTCTCATCTGTAAATCAAGGCCACAAGGGATCTAGCAGTAGACATGCTAGACTATTGCAAACTTGCTAATAATCAAATATTAATCATGTTGATATGATTTCAATATTTTCAGGAGACTTTCTCACCTGTTGAGGAAAAAAGCGCCTCTGATAGTTTCGTAAGGATTGGATCTCGTTCTTGCTCGTCTCATTTCTTCTGGTTCCAGTTGATCAAACACGGACTAAACAAGTGAGACATGGTGAGATAACATGGTAAACAAGTGAGACATGGTGAGATAACATGGTAAAGAAGTGAGACATGGTGAGATAACATGGTAAAGAAGTGAGACATGGTGAGATAACATGGTGAGACATGGTGAGATAACATGGTAAACAAGTGAGACATGGTGAGATAACATGGTAAACAAGTGAGACATGGTGAGATAACATGGTGAACATTCTGTTTGTAATTATTCTCAGTTGTGAAAAGGGGATGAGTATTTGCTGCTGGAGCTGAGAATGGGATAGGAGTGATTGTTTTATTAAACATGTGGTCTGGGTTGCTTTGTTTGTTTGTTGTTTAACGCCGCACTCAGCAATATTCCAGCTATATGACTGCGGTCTGTAAATAATCGAGTCTGGAACAGACAATCCAGTGATTGATGTCATGAGCATCAAACCACACAATTAGGATATGATGACATGCTTCAACCAAGTCAGCGAGCCTGACCACCCAATCCCGTTAGTCGCCTCTTACGACAAGCATAGTCGCCTTTTACGGCAAGCATAGGTTCCTGAAGACCTATTCTATCCCGGATCTTCACGGGACCATGTGGTTTTGGACCTTTGGCAATACAAAAACTATGGGAAACATTTTTAGTTTCCTTCTAACAAATACATACCTTGCTTCCTAGAATCAGTCGTAGAATATTTGGTGAACAGAATGTATCTTCATCGTCGATTTCTCTCTTTTTCTGAAATCAGTTGGCAGAAAATGTTCATTCACAAACAACCCCATCATGCAAAAATATAATGATGTGGTTCCGATTACCCTAACAACCCTAAGCTAAGGTGTTAACAATACCTTTCTTTTAAGTGGGACTCACTGGCCGCGATACAACATGATATAAAAAAAATGATATAAACCAAACACCGCTGCTGTAGTTTTCCAACACATGGAATGCTCTCTACGCCACTTCTTCACAGGGGGCACGGGTGGCCCAGTCGTCTAAGGCGCCACAATTCGCTGTGCAGAGTTGCGTCCCTTGGGCACGCCAGAAACCTATGATTGTGGGTTCGAATCCCGGTTTGCCCCGAATATGTTTCTAGTTTTGTCAGCACCTTACCCGTGCTCGTGGGTTTCACCTAAGTGGTAAACGTCTGAGACCTGCATCACTTCGGGCTTTCCTCCCACATTAAGCTGACATGCCGTGATATAACTGGAATACTGTTAAAAGCGGCGTTAAACCCAACTCACTCACTCACTTCTTCACAAGAGGATTCTATTACCGGTCCAATACGCTTCCATGCTATCATCTCCTCCAGTGTGGGGACAGGAACGTCACAGGGCAGGCACCACTCCACCGCCTCCTCCATGATCACCTGCAAACACCATACATCATGTTCATGTCACATGAATAATCTGTATCGACGGGGAATTATAATTTACGTGAATGCACATTAACTTCTGAAAATTTACATTCTCTTGAAACCAGCGTTGATTAAAACACTTCCCCGTTTCTCTTCTCTGCTACTGTCAGCCATGTTTCGTGCACTGTGGCGACACTAAGTGTTGTAGTTAAAGGGCAAGTTCACATGGAAATGAACCTATTTTCTTGTACTTTTTCCACATTAAAAGTGTTAACCTAGTAGTGTCATAGACAAAAATATAAAAATATCACAATTAACTAACATATTTTTTGCATTAAAACGATTTATATTTTTCACATTTACCAAGTGTCCTATTTCCATAACAAAAACACCATGGCTTATGCCCCTTGCAATATGACGTCATTGGTGCCAATTGATAAACATTATGACGTCATCATGCTTTGTTAGAGCCGCTTCACGTGGTGTAGGTACAGGTGTGTGATTCTAGCGTCTCAGATGCCAGCCAGCATAGTGTTATGCTGAGTCACCACTGCGCCGGAGTGTGTCGTAGGCCATGTTGTTTTACCGCAAACTGGTACTTGATATCTTTTGCGTTGAGAATAGACAGGGACCAAGTTGAATTGGCACCAATTACGTCATAATCTAAGGGGGATAACTCAGGCCTGTTTAGCTCGAAAAACGAAGGCCTCATGACGGCATATCATTTTCACACTATTGGGAGCTTCCTACTTTCACTGTGAAAAAATGAGTTTATATTTTCAAACACAGATACTAACTAATTCTAAAATTGCGTTTTGTTTAGAAAAAGAAAGAGAGTGATTTTTGCGTGTACACTTCCCCTTTAAGCGAAATGCGGACATTAACAGGTAGCTTCCTACTTTCACTGTGAAAAAAAATGAGTTTATATTATCAAACACAGATACTAACTAATTCTAAAATTGCGTTTTGTTTAGAAAAAGAAAGAGAGTGATTTTTGCGTGTACACTTCCCCTTTAAGCGAAATGCGGACATTAACAGGTAGCTTCCTACTTTCACTGTGAAAAAAATGAGTTTATATTTTCAAACACAGATACTAACTAATTCTAAAATTGCGTTTTGTTTAGAAAAAGAAAGAGAGTGATTTTTGCGTGTACACTTCCCCTTTAAGCGAAATGCGGACATTAACAGGTATGACCGAATGTGTTCAGTTGCTGATGCTGTCGGCTCCAATAGTTACTGCATTTATGGTTTAAACACATTTTTATTTCAAAAGAAATCTGGAGCGGTAAACAAGCCAAACTTGCTTATGTAAATACCTCTCCAGGTAATAACTTAACAACAGCTGGTTATAAATAAGATAGTGGTAAACATAAACATACAAAACGCACAAACAAAATACATGAAGCCAATACATTGAAGCAAGTGGTGTCTGTGAAATAAGATACTGTATTTATATTGCATTTGAAACTATTCCTTCGCACCTGGTAGCTATATACAGGATAATGCTTATATTTATTCCAAAAATGGTTCTTTTCATTCAAATAGATAGCAGGGCCTGTGTTTGAATAATATAAACCCAACTTGCTAGGACTGATAATCTGCCAGATCTTAATACCCATCTAACATGTTAAAAACATCTTCACCGAGCAGTGAATGGGTACCCGGTAGGATGAGATAGTTGCTACCCTTATAGCACCTAACAGGCAGCTTTGGTTGTATACTCCCCAGGGAGCTGGGAATGATTGTTGATGCACACTGATCCAGTGACCAGGGTAATAATAGCGCTTTGAGCATGCCCCTGAGTGGTGTGGAAAAATGCACAATATAAATAGCCTATTATTATCATTACTTATATAACTTGACAAAGTACCATATTTTCTTGAAAACAAACTCAATCCAGGTGTCTTACCTCTTCCTCTTCAAAGTTCCACTCGATGTCCTTAGCCTCAAGGCCATCAAGATGAAGACCCAGACCGCGCCGACCTCGCTGATTGGATGCCTCCACGATCTCCACACGTCCCTGACCAAACTTTCCAAGACCTGTGCCAGCTTTGTAACCCATCTTCTCCTACAGTGGCATTACATAAAACACACGTACAGTAGTATACGTTAACAAACACGATTATAATGACTGACCGATATAACAAACTTATTTTTTAGTCCCGGCCATTTGTTGCATATTTGCTGTACATATGCTCATAACAAACTACGGTTATTACGAACTAAAATTAGTGGTCCCTTTGAGTTTGTTATAATATAACCGTAGTTTAATGTACTCATCTGACAACTGCAGAGACAATACGTGATTTGAAAAGGTGCCCATCATTCATTGAGGGCAATATCCCTGACCCGTAATAATTGTTGGTCGGTTGGTTAGTTTGTTGTTTAACGCCCCAGTCAGCAATATTCCAGCTATATGACTGCGGTCTGTAAATAATTGAGTCTGGACCAGACAATCCAGTGATTAATATCATGAGCATCGATCCAAGCAATTGGGATCGATGACTTGCATCAACCAAGTCAGTGATCCTGACCACCCGATCCTGTTAGTCGCCTTTTACGACAAGCAAAGTCGCCTTTTACAGCAAGCATGGGTTGCAGAAGAGCTATTCTACCCCGGAATCCTCACGGGTCTATATCGAGTCTGGGTCCGGCCAACTGCATGTTGATAGCATAAGCAATGAATCATGTGTAGAAAGAACACCACCATATACAAAGATCTAATAAACATTACATAAGCACTTTTTGAGTCACCCTCGGGATTAATATGATTAACATAAATGATTGATGCTCTGCTAGACTGTCTTACCATCATCTTGCTAACTTTCGCTGAGCTGACGGAGCCCTTGGCGCCAGTGTTGGTCTTGATGAATTTAGAGTGAGGCTCCCCATTGTCTGGATCCCCCCCTCCACTGTCACCTCCCCCCATAAGGGATCTTTTCCCAAATCCCCCAAATGATGGACGTGCATCATCTTCAGAGGAATCTGAGTCTGTAAGGAATAAATAAATAAATAAATAAATAAATGTTAGGATAGAAATAATTGAAAATAAAGTGCTCAAGAGTAAATAATGGTAAACATGCTAATGTACACAGGGATATATCTAAAATTTTATATTTTGTGATTGTATTTTGTTTGTTTGTTTGTTGTTTAACGCTGTTTTATTCCAGCTATATGGTGGCGGTCTTTCTATATAATCATAAATAAATATGTGATAAAGAATTTTCATGACCTTAATTTTTGGGGGCTACTTTTGTAGATTTAGCAAACAAGAAACTTCTTTTTAAGTCGCAAATACAAGAGGTGGTGAAATGGTTTTTCATTTGTAATGAAATAATTTAATTTTCCAAATGACAACTACACAAAAATATATAACAAATAGGATATTTCACGGGTTTCGAAGGGCGGTCGGGTAGCCTAGTGGTTAAAGCGTTCGCCCATAACGCCGAAGACCCGGGTTCGATTCCCGACATGGGTACAATGTGTGAAGCCCATTTCTGGTGTCCCCCGCCTTCTTGATATTGCTGGAATATTGCTAAAGGTGGTGTAAGACCATACTCACTCACCATGTGTCTCATGTCCCCCACACTCGATGAGAGAAACATGATACAAAATAGCTATATGGTGGCAGTCTGTAAATAATGGTGTCTGGACCAGACAATCCAGTGATTGACATCATGAGCATCGATCCGATGATATGGCTCAACCAAGTCAGCGAGCCTGACCATCCGATCCCGTTAGTTGCCTTTTTCGACAAGTGTAGTCGCCTTTTACGACAAGCATGGGTTGCTGAAGACCTATTCTACACCTGATCTTTACGAGCCTGTCCGTCAGGAAACAAACATAAGAATACAGGTATGCGAGTCATTTTGTCTTAATGTTGCAGTAATACTGTTGATTCTCTAATATGCTTAATGTATAAGACTCACTGATATACACAACACTGATGAAACAAAATGGTGGATTTAGTTTACAAATGTATTTTTACAGTTCACTCTGACAGAGTGATCAGTTGCTAGTGGTAACAACATTATTGTCAACCGTTGAAACTTTTTACTGAATTTTAAAGAAAAAATCTCCTAAGAAATAGGCCTTCTAAAGATTCAATACACTGTCACTTGATCGTATTGATGGTGTTGAAGCTACAAACACAATCTCATTATGCACGGTTTGGGCTAGTTTCAACTTGTATTGATCGTTAGGTATGTCACGATTCCCCGATTGTACTGATACATCAGTTGATAATTGCTCATGATACGAGATACATGTAAATTTATATTGATAAGAAATTTTATTGAAATCGGTATCCATTGTTCGCATATCGATTGATTCTCTTTTCGAATCGAAATGTCATCATATTTTCTGAATTTAACACATACGAAAATTTGTTAGTGTCTGACAGTTATTTGAATAAACAGAATCAACCTTTTCTAAGTATTATTATTTTACAAAATAATCTACTGATAGTGATTAGAACACATAATTGTCAATGTGATATGTAATCAAAACGTTTGCTTCTAAATTTACGCATAAAAGGTCAGTATTGCTGTATCGAGATAGGTATCGTATCTTGACCTCAAAATCGAGATACGTATCGTATCGTGAGGTACCTGTATCGTGACACCCCGTGAGGCAACAAACACAATCTCATTATCCACGGTTTGGGCTAGTTGTATGGATGACGAGAAGCAGTCATAAAATGACACTAAACATATTACAATGGTAAAATTGCAGACTACCGGAAGCGTAACCTTGGGGGCTTGACTAAGGATACCTACTGAATCTTGTCTTTTTGCAGCTCATCGCTTTGAAAATACGTATACACATTACGTAGATTATGCTACTTTCGATTTCAATTTTATCTCAATTCATCGATAACTTAATATTTAAGTTGGAGCAACATACACACCTGACAACTGACTCATGCTTTGTTTGCACTGAAACAGAAGTGAAATGTGAAAAGCTTTCTTCAAAACACTTCTGATTCACCAAGACGATAGTAAACATACAGCGGGGTTTTCATGAAAACTTAGCGCCTGTTTGTTTTACCGGAAGCGGATACTCTTTTCTATCTCTAAAAAGAGAGATTTTAGAGTTACCCCCCTTTATCCTAGACTTACTTTTAGGCTTTTCATTGCACGTTAGATTTATACGGAAGCGTCGATATGTTATTTAGATTGACAATGCGACTGTTCGGTGTTGCAAGAAGCGTCGAGTGATAAATGTCAGTTATTAAAACTATTATGCGGAAATATATAACAAAAATTATCATTCAAAAACAAAAGACAATTGAATGCGTGGTAGATACATTTTTTTTATAACTTCAATCATTTAATGCTTTATGGGATTAAGTAGAAAATGAAAAGCAATGAACTGGGTACCTTTTCATGGACGTTTTACTAAAAGAATTTGGGCATATCTTACAAGTTTGAAATCGCCGCAGTCGAGAGTACTTGTACACACAAACCTGTAGTCTAAATACATTGTAGTTCCATTTCTGCACAGGATCTCTGCTTATTGGGGAGTATACACGAACAAGGAACAGCCTATTTATATAGTCGGTCGGTCGGATATCCTCGTGTTTAAAGCGTTCGCTCGTCACGCCGGAGAACCGGGTTCGATTCCCGACATGGGTACAATGTGTGAAGCCTATTTCTGGTGTCCCCCGCCGTGATATTGCTGGAATATTGCTAAAAGCGGCGTAAAACAATACTCCCTCACTAACTATTTATAGAGTCAGTATTTTCTGAAGCTATGCAACTAAGTCAGTATTTCTAATTGGTTGGGTAGTATGCCTTGTTCCAAACACAGTGTGTGCATGTAATAAAATATTGAACGTCAGATAAGTTCCTGAGTTCTGTTTGACAGACAGGAAAACACAACGAGAGCCAGGATCAGTGTCCATTAACGGCAAATGGGGGAAAATGAGCGTTCGTGTATTCGTTGTCTACAAGATGTTATATACTTAAGCGTAAAAAAACTGAGATTTCTGAAGTCGAGAAAAGTGATAATTCCTATTTCAACAATGTAACGGGAAATCATTGCTCATGTTTCATTTGTTTTTTTTATTAAGTCGCTTATTTTTTAACCATATGGGTAATTAACACGTGTTTCACTACACTATGGATGCATAAATGTATCACCCTGTGTTATCGGTACATATATTTGATTACAAATGTACGATCGATGCCTTTGGAAATTATCCTATTTTGTTTCCGATGCCGATGTTTGTTTTATTATATACTTCAGTGTGAAAGACAGATTTTTCCTAAGGTTGAAGAAAAGTGATATTTTCATTGCAGTGAACATAACACTTGACGGAACTATTGTCATACAAGAGTCACCTCCCCTGAAATTGTCTCCGTCAAGCTCCTTCCCAGCGCGTGTCACCTTCGTTACACTCTCGGTAACATCGCGATAGTATAGAGAGCTCCGCGAACGGGCTATCGCTGTGAGGAGCTTGTATCTCCCTTTAGCGTAAGTGTCTCAAGCTCCTTCCCAGCGCGTGTCACCTTCGTTACACTCTCGGTAGAGCTCCGCGAACGGGCTATCGCTGTGAGGAGCTTGTAAGTGTCTAACCCCCATCCGTGACCAACTCGTGTTATTCCGGAACAAGCCGAATAGCGACTCGTGCCCCTCTCGTGACCATTTTTGCGACCGGCATACTTAAACAATTGTCAACTCGTTGCGTAATGGTTCACATATATTTCCCCATATATTATATATATTTTAGATCAATTTAAAGCGTTAAAGCGTTCCCTCGTCACGCCGGAGACCCGGGTTCGATTCCCGACATGGGTACAATGTGTGAAGCCCATTTCTGGTGTCCCCCGCCGTGATATTGCTGGAATATTGCTAAAAGCGGCGTAAAACCATACTCACTCACCATGTGTCTCATGAAATATCATGTTTCTCTCATCTCGTGGTTGGGAAAAAAGAGCTTGTTTTCACTCGTAAAGATATCTCCCCCCCCCCCCCCCCACCACCACCACACACACACACACACACACGCACTACTCGATGAGAGAAGCATGTTAAGAAATATCCTATTTATCTTGTATATCCTCTGCCTATGTGTGATATCCTGTATCTGTAATCACCTTTATTTAAAATAGAAGTGCATGCGTGTGTGTATATATATATATAGTTTAGCTTGTAAATATAAAATGTGTCTGTGCTTTACAAGTGACCCATTGTACTTGCCTTTCTTAAAATAATATCACGCTGTGTATGTTTACAAAGGATTGTCAGTCACTGAATGTACATCAGAGAAGAGACTCAGTGTTACAGCTTAATCATGACTTTCTTTGTAAGTATGATTTCTCTCCAAATTAGCCTACACTTGAAATTGTTTTCACGAAATCCTGCACCGGAAGTCAATTAATTGGATGCTGTGTCGCCATAGCAACTGCACACAAGATCAGCGACACATTGTCCCAGGTGGTTAGTGCAATCTAGTTATGTCATTCGAGATTCCCATTACACTTACATAATGTCTGTTCTGAAAGGCAGTGTGGGCATAAAATCGATCGTTTTCGTCAATTGAGTATAATTAGGATGGAGAGGTGGCTATTATCAAATATCAAATTAAAAAAAACTAACTTTATTTTAAAAAATGCTCGGCTGCAGAATTCGTCGTCCTTTATGATCTATGGGACTATGGGACTGTTTGGTTTCACAGTTGGAAACGGAATTTCATAATGAAACTGTGTTTCTTTGAGAGGCATTTAGAAGTTGGAGTACTAAATAAGGATAGGATATTTGGGTGGTTGTAATAAAGTGTTTTTTTTTATATTTGTTTATTGTTTAACGCCGCACTAAGCAATATTCCAGCTATATGACGGCGGCCTGTAAATAATCGAGTCTGGACCAGACAATCCAGTGATTAACAACATGAGCATCGATCCACGCGATTGGGATCGATGACTTGCATCAACCAAGTCAGCCAGCCTGACCATCCGATCCCGTTGGTCGCCTCTTACGACAAGCATAGTCGCCTTTTACGTCAAGCATGGGTTGCTGAAGAGCTATTCTACCCCGGTTCTTCACGGGCATCTAATAAAGTTGGTCATCCTAATATTTTATCCTTACTTAAAACTGCGTTGTGTACAACTTGTACTAGTTCGGACTAACGCTGATTTTATTGTCCTAGCCCACTGAGAAGCAGTGCCCCAGCTTAACATGAATACCCCACACAGGCACAGCATACTGACCCCGAGCCGACCAGTCCTTGTATTATCCCCTTAATGACGTGGGCCGACAGGGTAACAACAAGTACCATTTTTTAACGTCTTTTGGTATGACGCGATACAAAGCCAAAACTAAGATCTGATTTTAATCATTGGTTCTATGCGAACAGCATAAGGATCTGAGATGCAGGACCACTTTCACAAAGCGATCTTAGCGCTGAAAGTATGGTGAAAATATTGCATGTTATACTATGGGAGGTTTGATTGTGCAATTAGAAGCAGGTCACCGTTTCAAGAAGCGATCCTATTGTTAGGCCTCCCGCAAGCCTACGTTAAAGTGTTGGGTTACAACTAAGGCTACTTTGAGAACCTTCGCCGGATAAAGTGCATTCGCTTGAAATAGCCACGTTAAGAACATACAAGAATATTGTCAAGATCTTATATTATTCATATAGGTTCCAACTCGCATAAAGATAAAGCTATACATAGATGTAGACGCTGATCATATATGATTACATTCCAACGATGAACAGAAGATATTGTGTTACTCTTGTAAATTATGCATAATATATCTACATATCATATTTCATATATTTGTGACAGAAATAAACGTTTAAAATTATCAATGAAACCTATTCTTACATTAATATTTTAACTAACCTGAGAGGAGTGCGCGAGTGAGTGAATATGGTTTTACGCCGCTTTTAGCAATATTCCAGGAATATCACGGCGGGGGACACCAGAAATGGGCTTCACACATTGTACCCATGTCGGGAATCGAACCCGGGTCTTCGCCTCTTCGGCGTGAATAAAGAATGACCAGAAGAATGTTAGAGAGTGTTTTCTGTCGTATGACCGTCCATTCGTCTTTCCAACCGTTTATATTTTCGAAACAAAAGCTAACTTAGCTTGATTCCAGGAATGGCGACTTTACAACAGGAACACATAATTCTGATCTGAATTTAAAACAGGCGGCCACAGCAGCCATATTGAAATCTTCATGCTCAGCCGTCTTACCGAGGCAAGGGAGTTAACTGGTCCTAAAAGTCTTTTTGAAACGGGACTTTTACAGTCAGTTAACTCCCTTTGCCTCCAGAAGCTGTATTCAGTCAATTGTGTTGTATCTTGAGAGGTTTGTACACAGTTAAGTACGCAAAAGGACTACCTTCTGTTTTGTAGTTTGACATCTGCTACTTTGTCCGATGGTGTTAAAAATATAGGTTTGCCCATCTACCAAGCCAAAATTCATTATAACTTCCGGGCAAAAGAACGTTTATATCCATGTGGTGGCTAACAATGAAACAAACAAGAAATGATTATTCGATGATCATGTATGTGACAAGGGTGTCATAGGCAATACAGTAAACTACGGTTATAACGAACACGCTTATAACGAACTGACGGATATAACGAACTTACTTTTTAGTCCCGACTATTTGCTGCAGTTATGCTGTATATATGCTTATAACGAACTACGGTTATAACGAACTAAAATAGTAGTCCCTTTGAGTTCGTTTTAACCGTAGTTTACTCTATAACATGCATGATATCAATGAGTATCTCACAACGTGCAACTATGTTCAGTCCAGTAACGTTTGGTCAAATCCAATTTTCAAGTGTATACTTTTTTTAACAGTTTATGATTGTGTAATGGGATGAACATACAGTTTTTATGCTCTGTTTCGTTGAATTTGCAATTTTTTCAGAGAAAAGCACAACACCAAGAGCGCAGATGTTGTAAAACGAAGTCTGAGCTCCGCGGCGTGGGGTCCGGGGTGTTGTAATCAGTGGCATTTATTGGACTCTCTGGATGATTGGCCCCGTGGGGATTCCTGGTTAGAATTTAGGCCCCAGCAAGTTCTATGCTGGTCGTA